GGGGGGGGGGCTCTTTGATGCTCGGAACAATGACAACCTGGCCTTTATAACCCCGGTTACGCTACTTTCCACTCTTGCCAGCTTAGCATATTTTGTGATGATGTAGACTAGAGGATGCACAGAGAGGCGCTTCAGAGAGGACATATTTTAGAACGCCAACCCGGAAGTCAGCATTGCGCTGGTTCCCTCGACACAAAGCCAATGGGATTTTTTTTTTTTCCCCCCATCGGATTCTGGATTATAGTTTGTCACAATGGTGGACAAGTGTTCGGCACGATGTCGTTTTGTAGTCTCATTTAGTTTTGTAGTCTCATTTAGCCACTTGTTGAGACGAGGGAACCGGAAGTGCAAAAATGCTGACTCATTCGCTGGGTTTCAGGACTCATTCCTGCAGTGTTGGAATTCAACCAGCATGGAGAAGTCTTTTTTAGTGTTCAGAACACAAATGCACACGGCATCTGCTGAGGAAGACGTGCAACATGATCCAAAGCGGCGTAAAACAGCGACGAATGAATGAACCCCGCAATTTTGTTTTTCTGAATTCAAAATATATATAAAATCATAAAACTGATGTCCACAGACAAAATTCCTTGCATACTGTTGGACTGCGTTGCGTAATGTTATCAAGCCTGTCCTCACTGACACAAAATAAAAGAAACACCTGTGAGAATAATGTGACATCGTTCAACAGCAGCACAAACAGCAGCTGTCCAAAATGATCAACGATGGATGAACACCTCTCTAGAACCATTTAGACAAAAACTAAAATGATATTCATGTCAGGAGGATTCATTGCAGGACTGTTGGATTATAGACTTTGGGTAGTTTTAGCTAGGTGGACCTAATAAACTGGATACTCGGTGTATATGCGCACACTAACTATTTAAAAAAATTCCCAGGGGGCATAAATTGTGTGTTCTGAGTGATATTGGTGCCATCATTTGATTGTTGGAACACAGATTTTGCCCCAGACTAAAAAAAACAAAGACATTCAATTTACTATAATGTAGAAGAAGTTAATTGTAGCATTTGAGAAGCTGGAACCGTCAAATATGAGATGACAATTAAGATTAGCAAAATAGTTGCCAATCAATTAATAATTGGATTTAACAAACTATTAGTGTCGATCACAACTCATGAATTTGGGGTTTTCAGAAACATTGTAAATCAAGTCTTCTCTGACACAGTAAACAAGAGCCATTAGAAGGCACTGCCGCTCCAAAGCTGTTGAGTTTATGACACTTCTATTACTAACGCATTCACAATGTATTACATAAATACATATCAATACATCAGGTTCTTGTTAACAGCAGTATTCCCTTTACACAGTAGCGATCACATTTCTTATATTATATCATTCTTATATCATATGTATATTTTCCCTTTAACTCACGAGATGCAGGTAGCATGTTTTATACTTAATGTGAATATAATTCATACTTTGTTGGCATCTTATTCTGAAAACCGGATGTTCATCTGAAGAAACCGGATGTTGTCTCACGTTAATATTTCCGCTAACTTTCAAAGTCCTTCGCTCGCTCCCGATCTGTGCCGTTTGAATGTGTTTACCGTGAATTTCAGCATATAGGTGCACTAAAATGTAAGTGTCTGCTGAGTTGACCGCAGCGATGTCCCGTAGTCTCCAGTGAGAGCAACAGCTGGTGCACATTGTAACGCCATGTATTCTAACCGGCTGCAGTTTGTATCCACTTCTCTGTAGTATCTGTTAGCTTGTCTAGCTTTTGTTTATCTCTACTTCTCCCACACGCTGCATCAACGTAGTCTGCTGAAGACTTCCTCCACGGACTTTCAAAATAAAAAAAATACGTTAACGCGCTATAAAATAATTGTCGGCGTCAATTAATGAATGCGTTAACGCGATAATAACGCCTTAACTTGCCCAGCACTAGAAATTATACAACTGAAATGTTCACCGTATCAGTCAACACCACGCCACCAAGTCATTTAATGAAGAAAGGTCAACCTCTAAGACAGCTGGGACAATGGTGTGTCCTTCAGATGGAGGGCGGCTACATGCTTCTGACTGTACTGTTCAGAGCTAATGATTATGTAAACACAACACATAGAAAGCTTTTCTTTGAGCCTCTTGAGCAACAGGTCAGCGGCAGCAGCGTTTCCGCTCCCATGCAGTTGTGAAATGCCTTTCCAACGCATCTATGTGTAACTACAGAGGTTTGATCATTCGACCCTTCAGGTGGGTTTAACTGAAATGATTATCAAGGACAATGGGAGTGTGGCTGTATTTCACAATGTGGAGCAAAAATACCCTCAACAAACAGAAGTTGCACTAACATCCACCTTTTTACCACCAACATCTAGTCAGCACTCCTTGAGTCTACGTGGATGTTTGTGGCAAATTTGAAGAAATTCCCCCCCAGACGATCCTGAGATATCGAGTTCACAAGACAATTATTAGAGAACTACGTCCCATAGCTCTCTAATGATTGTCAATGCTTGAATGAGACAGCCCTGAATCATAAGTCTATAGGACCCTTTAAGCAATATTTCTATGTACATATCGGCTCTTTTAGAAATAAAGCTAATTTATCTCCCTGAGGAGTACCGCAAAAAACTTTGGAAAAAGCGTGAAAATCTGCTAGAAGACACCGCACCATAGCTAAGCACTCCCTTCAGGGCAGGCTCCATCCCAGGGGCCCCATCTCTTCAGTAAACAGCTCTCCACCCCAGGGGACAGTTAGACAGCATAGTCAGGTGCTGAACAAAGCCCCAGAACTCACCCGCTTCTTATCCTGCTGCTCCATGGCAACCGCAACCTCTCAACATGCTCCGCTCCTCGACCAGCCAACGGCACCTGGCAGAGCCCGGTGGGAGCCGCTCCGCGATGGCCAAATCCGGACGCCGCCGCACACTGGGGGCCCCAGACCGGATCCCCCTGAGCCCACCTGTGGCGGCTGCAGGTGAAGTGACTCGGATTGGGAACGGAGGAAGATGAAGAAAGTAGGCGGGTGCGGCCTCGGTCCTCCACCTGGCAACACCTCCTGCCCTGCCTCCTCTGCCAGTGTGACAGGGGGGGCACGCCCACACCTGCAGGGACCAGCAGGGAACTGTGGGATTCGTGGGTGGTATTTAAGAGGATTAATTGTTGCTCAGGTGCAGCACAGGGATCCTCTTCATAACATTCATGTAGAGGTCTGTGGATAAATGACAAATAACGAGAATCAATTTAAAAAAGCAGGTCAAACTGGAATTACACCTACATTGCACAAGATTGCAAATGGTCGACATTGGTTGTTAAACACCATCGTTGCTTAGTTGGCCCCAACGCTGTCATATTGTGTGCTGTTGGTCTAGATGTTAGCATAATAGATCTATTGAAAAGCAGACCAAGGCCCCTGGATTCACTGACACCAGGGTCGCCACTCACTCTGACCACATAGGCAGCTTCCACTGGAAAACAAAAACTCTGCGGATCTCCAGAGTCAGCAGTCTTCATTAGCAAAGAGTAGACAGCGCTCAGCCAAAGCAGACGAGGAAAATAGGCAGACAGAGTGAAAGTTGAGAGGGTGTATTGACTATTACTACTGCTCGAGTAAGATTAAACCTCCAAACCAGACCCACCGAGGGGTCAGACGGAGGGTAGGTAATGCAAGCGAAGTCAAGTGTCCCAGTAAGTCATGACAGGCGTGCACGATACCAGGACCCTGAAACCGAAGCGTTGTTTCCAGTTCTGACAACAAATGTTAGCGCTACTACTGAACGTGTTCATCTATAGCGCGTGGGGGAGCTACAGTCCCAAATATACTACTAGCTAGCTAAAGTAAATATAGCCAGCTAATCCTCAGTCAGTCGAGCTCAACGAGTTTGAATTGTTTCCTCCCTATAGGTCGGTTGGACGTAAAATAAATTGTTTATTCTTCGTTTGACGTCAACTTAAAATGATTAGCTGACGTCAGACAGGTGATACAACATTTAAATTCATAACGTCCACGCATTAGATTAAAAATTACAAAATGTCTATTGCTCACACTACCAGCTACTAACAACGTATTTAGTTATTTTTGGTGAACGATTGTGGGTTATTGCAAGAGAAGCAAAACGTTAGCAGTTACATCAAAGGTCCAAAATGACAGCTCGTGCTGCCCGGTGTAGCGTCTTTAACGTTACCTATATCCTAAACGTTATGTTGACAACATGTTGTGAGCCATGTTTGTTTCGAAAGGAACATAGCATTGCTAACAAGCAATTAGAGAAAACGAGTTTATGTTAGCCCGCTCCATATATCCGACGTCCTCTTCCCCTGATGTCAAAGGCATATGCTAACAAAACAAGAGGCTTCGACCTCACCGGAGAGTCACTGTTGCAATATTCGCTACAACAACAAATCTCGTCAGTGTAGAGTATTAGTCTGCGCACTCACCTCGTACTTTTCAGGTCTTTATTGATGTCTTTTTTTGTATTATGATTTTCTCTCGAATACGAATGCACTTGTGAGTCTCTACTGTACAGCAGCAGCCATGTTGGGGAGCGTTCCGCCGTGAGGTAGGAATAGTGTGTTGTAATTGGACGGTGCTAGGGTTCTCTGTCTTCCTGATTGGCTGAGACCAGAGTGGGCGGAGCTACAGGGCCTGAGATTGTTTATGGTTCTATTTTGAAATTGGAAACTTCAAAACTTTACAGATGAGTAGCTTGCGATTTTGTGACCCTCAAAGTAATTCACAATATTGAGGTAATATATTAACAATAACTAAAAAATGATGTATAAAATATATTCATATAATAGCTGTAACTACAACTATTACAGATGTTTATGGGTTCCATGTTACACACCAGGAAGTAAGCGCTACGTTTTCCAGCATGTTACTCTTCTGCTTTTTCATATTAAGGTCGCAACATTTCGTGGAGTTATTAACCTTTTACAGCATAAAATATAGTGCATCGTTGAACATAAAAGAACATCCAGAAATTGCGTAATGACATGATGGTCATCATATGATGAAATCTTAGACAACTGAATGCTAATGAACTATTTCCTGTTCAACTTGTATGTTCAACCTAATGTCCAACTGCGTGGATGTAAGAAAAGAATTTGGAAAAATACGTTTTTTAACATACACTTGAACTTTTAGTTAAGTAAATAATTGCTGACAGTGCAATGCCCTTGACACTCACAATATGAAAATATTTACTACCTACACATATTTGACTCTTATTAAAAAAAATGTGCTGAATAAAACACTGAGCAATTTGTTCTGGAAATGTGTATGCCTATCATTCAACATGTACTGTATGCATTTTGTTTGAAATATGACATTTCCAATCATTTGGACTTTTGGTTCCGGGTCTGGTTTTTCGTGGTTTGGACTCGGGGTCTTAAATCCAATGAAGGGAAACATTAGCGATGCAACATACAATTAAAATTTTGACAATAGTGTGCTTCCAATTGCTGTCTTCACAACTGTTTATATTTGTCCCCTTTGGTGGTTCAACATGACAAATGTCGGCTCCATAAATACAGGGAGTCGTCGTCTTAAATACCCATTATGCATTATACAAGCAAGTGACATTAAATATATATATACTAGTAAATCTGGCAAAGACGACATTACTCTTGTTCAATTATTTCTTTTATACAATCTATATGTTGCTGGCTGAATCATTATTATTTTCATTAGCCCCGTGACACACACACACACACACACACACACACACACACACACACACACACACACACACACACACACACACACACACACACACACACACACACACACACACAGCTCTCCTGTAACCTTCAGGCTGTGTCCTCCCTGCAGTCAGAGCTGCATCAATACAAAATTGAGGGTCCGGTTGCCCGGCTGCCTCCACAGTGTAACTTCACTCCATCATATAAATCAATACCTGTCGGCCTGGACCTGCTTTTCAACTCTCCACAGATGAGCGTTCCTCATATGTGGGGCTTTTATACAAGTCCTGTTTGTGGGATCTGATAAATGATGGGGGCTGACCCCCCCCCCCCCCCCCCAGACTAACACAGATACATTTATAATTGGTGTGAAACATATTATTATATTAAATATTATATTCTATTAACGTGAAGCTCGCTCTGCGTTCTTGAACATGAAATATGACAAGTGTACTGTACTGACTCAAGTTACCCAAATGCAACATTCATTGTGTGTTATAATCCATGTTATGGATTCATTATGATACATTCATTTGTGTCCTGGCTACATCTACCACAATAGTACATTTTAAATCAAAGAAAAGAAAATCTATCAGGGACAAATATTTATACTACTTGATTGTGTCATTTTTCAGTGATTCCAAACCTGATTGGAAGTTTTCTCTCGACGTGTTGTAGGACAAACCTTAGTTCTTAATGTTAGAAAGGTTACATAATGGGAGCCTGATTACTACATTATACGTATAAAAGAAAAAAAACATTTTTCATTGAGCAACAAGTGCTCACCCCAGGGACAAAAGGGACAAATTCACAACTTTTCACTTCCATCTAAAATCATAGATATCAGATCCTTTCTGGGAAATTATGGGGCCCAAAAATAAAGGTTAAGTAGTCGTATTGCAAAGTAGTGCAAATTGAAATAGGCACATGGAAACGCCCCAATAAACACATATAGGGGCAGCAGACTTAAAGGGTAATTTCAGTTTTTATCAAGTGACGATTGGGGACGATAGTTTGATTGTTGATGAAGAAGCAATGTTAGCATTGCCCTGATTGATCCGAACTCCATTCAGAAAAGAAGCGTTTTTGTTGTTGTTGTTGTATTGTAGAAAAGACCTGACACAGCACAGACATTTTACACACCGGCATCATCGTGTAGTTATTTCTGCATAAATTTGATCCATAATATTGCAAATATACATGTTTGTTTTTTTCTGAGTTATCTGAGACTTCCACAACATGTGCAAAGCTGTGGTTAACAACAGTGGTTATCTCGGCCGTGGTCGATGAAACGTTGAAGTTGGATGGAGACCAGAGGGGACATTAGCTGCATGAACATTTGTTAATTTGCCTGCTGCTGACCTATTGGAACAATAACCACAGCAACAAACTGCAACAGCATAGAACAATTGCAACAATAACAAAAAAAAATGTAGAGGCAACAACAACAGCAATGGCAGTAATGGTAACGTACAGCACCAGTGATTAGAGACCAGTGGTGGGCTGTCAGGGCCAGCAAGGCCTTCTCTGCTGGCCTAAACAGAATCACAAAGTTATAGCTATTTTATAATTTAATAATTTTTCATAAATACACTACATGTATTATAATTTATACAAATATTTTTCCCATTAGCTTATTTTCTCATTGCACAGCTACTGTCTTCCTCAGTTGCTCTGCTTCCAGTGCAGCTTGTTTTAAGTAGAGCTTTTATCCAATCAGATTTCACCTCTGTGTCTCTATGTAAGAAGAGAGGCCCGAGGCCTGCACACTCGCAAGTGAATCCCTTTGCAGTTTAAGTGAATGGGGACGATATTGTTGATTGTCGTAGTGTTCAACCAATCAGATCTTTAGTTTGACATGTTGGGCGTATTCTTTGACATGTCAGAGCCTGCTAGCTGGCCTAGCCATACGTGATTGGTCAGTGGGCTAGCGTAACATGTTGGGCGGTGACAATCCCAAAATCTGCTGCCTCTGTCGAGCGGACATTTTCAGCCCTCAAACGCATCAAAACCTATTCAAAAAATACAACTGGGGAGGCTCGACTGTCTTCACTGGCGTCCATGAATCAAGAAGGACTTCTTACTGGAACTGAAACGCACGGATGTACTGAACAACCGTGAGATTAAACTCTTTATTAACAAAGAAAGGAGGAACAGCAGCTAAATAGTGAACAGCAGCTCTGGTAAGTTATTTGCAGTAGCTTTAATATGCTTGTTTGTATATTATTATTTGTACAACTTGTTTTTATGAAGATGGATTTTTGTTTGGTTTTATATGTGATAGGAACCATTGTTACGTCCAATGTTGCTCTGGGGACATATTTAGCAGGTGCCAGTGTTGCCAACTTGGCGACTTTCCCGCTAAATCTGGCGACTTTCCAAACCCTCATGGCGACTTTTTTTGTCAAAAGCTACTAGCGACAAATCTAGCGAGATTCCGTCCGCACCAGGGTTCGATTGACAGCTTTCACTCTGGCCCAAACGAACCTCGACTATTGGACGAAACACTCCAGAGTTTGGTTAAAGACGAACCGGACTAAAAAAAGTGCCCTAAGTTGTCAAAAAGACTGAAACGGCTTACAGCCCGTTAAACAGCTTTTGCTGTTAATAGTGGAGGAATGTTGACCGTTCACGGATCCAAGCTGAGCCCCGAACCACGTTCAAGTCCAGTGCTTCTTAAACAGAGAAGCTCACAATCAACTTAAAACCGAAACCGTTTTTACTGGAAATATTGTATGCTTTTGGAAGCCTCCTTGAAAGAAAATATATTTAATACATAATAAACAAATAACATTGAATAAATCAACATATTTCTTTAATGCCCCACCTGTATTACATGACACCATCACAAAATTAACTTCCAATAATGATTAACGAACGCTGCATTTCAACAATTACGTCTCAGGATTTTACCTCGCAAAAGGAATAATTTTCAAGGCTTTTAAGGTTTATTGATGGAATAATTGGTGAATGACTCTAATCCCTCCTGTACTGCTCTGGTGTTCTCTGATCAGAGCAGTGCACAATTTCCTATTTCAACAGTTTCTATTCAGTCCATTTCACCAATGACACACTGTCCATTTAGTTACACAGAAAAAAAAGATAAATTAACAAAAAAAAGGTTAAACACAAAAAGTCAGTGATTAACAACAACTCTCAATACTGTGTCTGTGTGTGTGTGTGTGTGTGTGTGTGTGTGTGTGTTGGTGTGTGCGTGTGTGTGTGTGTGTGTCTACTGGCGATTTGAAATGGAGCTGCTGACAGACGGTCGGATCAACTCTTCCATTATCATAGCAAGGGTGTGGCACAACTCCTTAGCCTGCAAGACAGACCAAGAGGATTATTACCAATAGATTATACATATATTTAGTTGCTCCAATGTCTCGCCCCAGGTTACCACTACTTTGATGGCATGGATCTATGGAGCGGTAGCCAAAAGTACCCAAAAAATAAGAACGCTACAAAACGTTAATGTGCAGCCCAAAGCCGCTACCTGTTTGAGATGAATGGTGACTTTCTTGGGTCGGCCCAGGTTGTTGTAATTGATGTCCACAGCTGGCACTTTGCCTCGTTTCTTGGGGCGGACGGTGCGCATGGACTGCACGTCTGCCAGGGGAATCAGAAACGCTTGCTCCTGCAGAAAAACAGAAACAAGAATCCTTTAGCTGGCCGCTACTGGCTGTGTGTTAACGACTGCATGGTTGGGCGTCTGTTTTAACTTTACTTCACTTTGGCTACTGGAAGGTTTTTAGTATTAGCAGAGACATTTCGGCCCCAACACATGAAAATATGGAGTTTCTGTAGGATTTTAAAAAAAGACAAAAATCCCTGAAAAATGAACAAAAAAGAGTTCTTTGTTAAAAAAAAATTTCACTTCTACACCTGTTCTGGATTCATCTGAGATAGGAACAATATCCCAACACCAAGTGTTTTAAACTGGATGTCTCCAGTAAATATACATCTTTAATACTGATAAAATCACATATTTGAAAGTACCTGTGTTTTGGGATGGAGGAACAGCACCCCCTCCTGGCTGATGCTGATCATGCACGGGGAGGGACAGCCACGCTGACTAACCTTCTGGGCCAAGTAAGTGTTGGAGCCAAACAGAGGCATGGTGCTCAGAATCTCTGAAGGACAAAGGATAAAATTCAGAAAAATACTATTATCATCAGGACAGAAGAAGAAGAAGGAGGAGGAGGAGGAGGAGGGAAAAAGTTGAAGAAGAAGAAGAGAAGAGAGAAGAACAAGACGAGAAGAGAGAACAGGCAGGAGAAGAAGAAGATGATGAAAGAGAGGAGAAGAAAAAGAAGAGAAGATGCAGATGAAGAAGAATAGAGAAGAAGAAAGACAGAAGAGAAAAGGGGAAACTACGCACCAATGAATTGTATTTTGGCATCTTGAGGGCTGAGGGAGTGCATTGCAGCTATCTGGCCCAGAAAGAAGGAGTGGATCTCTTCAGCTTTGCTGTTGAGTCCATCCTGTGACGGCAGGTACTCCTTCATCTCTGGCCTTGTAGAGATAGATATACACATACTTACAGTTAGAGGACTTACCCCTGAAGCTGAGCAATTAACATGTATCTCATTTGTTTGATTCATAATAAAACAATTAATAAAAACTACTATTTGTGGTTTTAGGGGGAGTTATGTGCTAAAGCTATTTATTTGTGTCAGACAGGAACAATGACTGGGAGTTGCTTCCTGGAGTCTTGTTGTCACAGTTAGGTTGCCAGGTTTGGTATCACTGTGTCTGAACAGAAACCACTACCTGTGATCACCGACTGTGCCTGACAACCTTGCTACAGACAGAGATGCTGCGCAGAAACTCCGGGCGGATGCTGTTCATCAAGAAATAGTTCCAGCGTGTAACTCCCCCTAAAACCATTGACTTTCGTTTTTACATTCCTATTTGTGTACAGGAACAAATGAGATATAACGTGGTGATCAGTGAGCTTTAGAGATGTTGGTAGGTGTTGTTTTTGAACTTTAGACAGAGCAGGGCTAGCCGTTACTTCCTGCTTCCAGTCTTTATGCTAAGCAATGCTAATCAAGTCCTGACTTCAGCTCAACACTAATTTTCTTAAGGCCTTTGCACACCAGAGGCATTTCGTGCAATTCATTTCACTTTCAAACTGTTGTTTTTGTCACCCAAAATGCAAATATCATGCGGCAAAAAAGCTTCATTATTTTATTTAATTTTTTTAAACTGGGTTGAATTTTCATAGGCTTTTGCACCGCAAATAAAGGCATCAACAAATCACGTTGTGCGGAACAGGCATATTCAAAACGTTCACTGTAGTGTACAAAAAACTGGACAGCCCTCGTCTCGTCCTCGGTGTGTAAAGGCTTCAGAGCCATAAAAAAAACGTGGCTGTAAAAGTGTTATGACCCTTTAAATGTAAGAGGCAATATGGCAGAGATGGAACCATAAACTGTATATAAGAAGTGGACGTAGTCATCGTGATGTCACCCATTGTTTTGTGGAGCGATTTCAGCGATTTTGCCGTCGCCATCTTGAATACGACCGTTGATATGTTGTTTTTTTTGCAAATAATGAACTGAAGTTACCATATTTGGAATGCAGAGGAGTGACGTAGAGACGTCGTATACGGCTCTGGTTGTGGCAGCGACCTGTCAATCAGAGTAAGCTCGCCCTAAAGCATACTCAGCTTTATTGTCTATTTGACTCTAAATGGACCATAATCTACTAAATGAACATCATGCTGTATTGAGGAAGACTTGAAACTAGAGATTGAGACCATAAACTCATGTTTACAATGTTTACTGAGGTAATAAATCAAGTGAGAAGTAGAGTCATTTTCTCATAGTCTTCTATACAATCAGACTTCTTTATGCAACCAGAGGAGTCGCACCCTGCTGGTCAGTAGAGAGAATATAAGTTTTAAGACACTTCAGCATTGGCTTCACTCGGCAGAACCAGAGGTTGCCGCCTGGATGTCTAAACATTTGATTGTATGACAGTTGTAGGCAGCCATGTATGAATGTGTGTATTTTAGTTGTATCTCAGTGATTTGTTTGTGTTGGATTCTTTTTTTTTCTGTCGAGCTGCCCAAAATATCCCGTTCCTAAACCGATCAGTATTATATTATCGTGTCATGTGCGTGTGACTCACAGTGAGGGCTGACCCATCAGTCCCTGAGCCAGATGCTGCAGGGCTGACAGCTCTGCTATCTGCTGGACTGATGAGGGACCACCTGCAGCCAGAGCAAGCATCAGCTGCCCACTGAGGTAGTCGGCCAGGAGCTACACAAACACAGACAGTATTGATAACGATGAGATGGATCCTGAACCAGCGGCTGGACTATGCACTACCACTTCTCCTGACTGTCGTGAACTGATGTTGTCACCTGCTGATAGTGGAACTCCACATAGAGGTCACTGTTGTAGGACAGAGGGATCCTCCACATCAGTCGTCTCAGGGAAAAGAAGATGGAGTCGTCGTCCAGCAGGAAGTCGAACAGATACTCCTCGGCGTGGAGGGGACGCACCATCCCATCTGACAGAGGAGGAGACGATCTGTTAATCAGACACTTTCATATCGGTTTGACTCTCATCTAATGTGGCATGAACGCCTGGTCGAGTGGTGCTATCCATGGTGCTGGGGGGGGGGGGGGGGGTGGTGTTATTCTGGCAGGATAAGTAAGCATTTAACCTTTCATTTTGTGGTGTGTGATCATGCTGTGCTATGTGATAAAATATAGGTTTTTTTGTTGTTTTTTGCTGTAGTTCATCAATCTATATTTCGTTGTGCAACCCTGTCGTACAATGACAAATAAAAACCTTTCCTAAAAACGGTTCCAAAATTGTTTAATTAAAGTTCACAATTATTTTATGAATGTAACTTTAACAGTTCATCACCTATATAGGCCCACTGTGGTCTGTGATTTATTTTCTTGAATAAAAACGTTAAATATATATATCTCATTTTATTTTTAACGCACTGGGATTGGATCTGTACACCGTATTAATTGATATGCAAGGTCCGGTACCAGAATCGGTATCGGGGAGGAAAGAAATTCTATCAGAACACCTATAGATACTACTTCAAGAGCTTTGTGAGAAAATATGGCATTTGGGTGGCCTGCCCCTTTAAATTCGATCATTTGACTGACAAAAATATTAGATGCTTCAGAATTGTGATGTTATCAGAGCAGAAAAGGCAGCGCTTCTACCTGTAAAGCATGCAGGAGAACATCATCTTATACACGAAAAAAAAATTTTAAGTCCAAAGACAGGCAAACTGTGGTTCTATACTGAATATCAAGGAGAAACGGTATCGGTCGGATTTACCCTGATATTGGTTGGCAAGGATGGAGAACTCTTTGATTTCTGTGAGATCTGAGATGCCCATCTCTTTACAGAACTCTGTTACCACATCTGCTGCCATCTAGAAGGAAGATACAAAATACAACCACAGGGATATTGATTATTAACAAAAAGGACTCAGGTTTTGTTTATAGATAAGTCAGTTTAACTTAATCTTACACCAAAGCTATTTGGCAAGGAAATCGGTGACAAATACAAAGGAAGCCAACCGAGTATTTGCATGTTTTTACAGCCAACTTTATAAATCGGAGGTTGATCAGAGCTGGGTAATTATGTGACATTTATCTCAAAAATGAACTTACCAGAAACATCCGTGGATCAGAAAAATTATTTGGACAGTCCCATAACAGTGGAGGAGGTCAAAAATGCTAATGAAGCCTGGAAAATTGCTTGGGTTAGATGGTTTTCCCTCAGAATATTATAAGAAGTATGTCGATTATTTGACTCCCGTCCTGACAGCTGTGTATAAAGAATCATTCTCATTGGGAGAAGCTACCAAAAACACTCAACGGACTCTGATATCCCTGAATGTTAAAAAAATATGAAGACCCCACTGACCCAGGTAATTACAGACCTGTGTTTGAATAATGTGGACAGCAAAATCCTAACAAAGATTTTGTCTATGAGGCTTTAAGCTATTGTACCAGGCTGAATACATGCAGATCAAGCATGCAGAAGCGGGTCTCACAAGGGGAAGAGGAACACAAAATGTTTATGTATGCAGATGATATTCTATTACTGATCAAGGACCCTTTGATGTCAATTCATAATGTTCTATCTACAATTGAATCCTTTTCAAAAATATCAGCCTACAAAATAAATTGGCAAAAATCTAAATGCATTCCGTTATTAAGAGGATGCAATCGATCAATGCTCGATACACTCCGGTTTAAATGGATCCCAAGGGGACTGAAATATTTGGGTATTAGGCTGTGTTCAGACATAGAAAAACATAATTTATATTATTATGGTTCCTTTAATACAAAAAATGATGCCAAACTTAGGCAAATGGAAATTGATAAATCTCACCTTATGGGGAAAAATTAACATCATATCTATGATGATACCAGTAACCATTTCTGAAGGAACCTTTAAAACAATATAATCATCTGATTAAGGATTTACTATGGAAAAGCCTAGAATTAGTATTAAAAAATGATTTGCCTCAAGAGACAGTGGGGGATTGGCTTTTCCAAATATGGAATTATATAGCATAGCATTTCAAATGAATAAACTAGCACGGCACTGAGCAAATCATGAATCTAGCCAACGGGGGGGAAAAATGGAGGAGGTACTGACAGCGCCATCTCGGGTTATGTATTTCTCAGAAAAACACACAACAAAACATATGGATCAAAGAAATCTCATTTCTTTGGCTGGCAAAAGGAATACATGTTGTTAAATATCCCTACGGAGACAGCTCATTTAGATAATTCAAGGACCTTAAAGAACTATTTGATTTAAATGACAAGGGGGATTTCTGGAAGTATTGACAGTCGAGGAGCAGCATAGGTTCAGTTTTTGGACTGAAAAGAGACGAGAAGGAAGAGAATAAGATCCAAGAGCTCCTAAACCTGAGACTGAGACTGATATGGCCAAAGGATCTTGGCAATAATATTAGGGAAGATGTATGGCAAGAGATAATATTGAATGTAGCTTGGGCTACGAGGGACGCAAGAAGCAAGTTTATCCATTCCAAAATTGTACAAAGATATTATTTCACACCCATGAAACTGTATAGAATGGGCTTAATGTAGGAAAAAAGAAAAATCTTACACTGAAGCTGCGTATCCTGATGGGGAAATCCACTCCTCCTGGTAGCTGGATGGGAATACGTCGAGACGTTTTGCCAGCCTGCAGAAAGCCAAGACGCACTCAAAAGTCAGTTGAGCTGTAAACGCAGAATGTGAAATGAACGTAACAGTTGAAATACACCGTGAGTGTGTGGGATAACTTGCCAGAATGGCCTCCATCTCAGCGTGTGAGGAGATGTTACGGCGGCCGCCAAATCTGAGAGATCGCTGGATGTTATCCTGACACACGCTCGCCAGCTCTGAGGATACATATGTGTTTGTTATAAACTGTGTGTGGACTAAACGAGACATTATATACATCTGAATACGTACCCAGCATTGTTTTAACACTACAATGACTTGTAAAGATAAGCATTTTTTTGTGGTATTGTGTATGTCATTTTGTGTGTTTCTTCTACCTTGGTATGGGTGCTCGTAGTCCAGAGAGATGTCGTGTAGGTGACGTGTGACGTACGGCTGCAGAGTACCAGAGCAGGGGAAGAACCCGCTCATCAGGTTGAGCAGCCGCCAGCCAAGGGTGCAGATAGACCTGTGAAGATGACACAAATAGGGCAAATACAATTTTAGCATTTTAATCATTATTAAAATGCTAAATTACAGTAGGAAAACAACTCTGGAAAAAGTGGCCACATTTTCTGCAACAGTGTAGCCAAGTTCTGTTATGCATGTTAAAGAAAAGTTCTGTAGGAGTGCCTTGGTCGTCGAATGGTATGCTATATAACGACAACATCTAGAGTTTAATTCTGACCTTGGGACCATTGTTGCATATCATACCCCTCTCTCATACCCTCACCCACTCTCTCTTTTTACATTGAAGTAAAATGTTACAATTTACTTTCATGAACTTTAATTAAACTCACTGTGAAAGTTGTAAAGTTCTAAGACAGAAAACAACGACAACTCCCAGACCGGAAAACAGCATGGTATACCTGTCGATCACAAGTTAGCCAGGTCCTAAAGCATACCCTGCTTTATGTTCTGCTTTACTCTAAATGGACCATAATTTACTAAATGAACATCATGCTGGATTGAAGAAGACTTGAAACTAGAGATTGAGACCATAAACTCATGTTTACAATGTTTACTGAGGTAATAAATCAAGAGAGAAGTAGAGTCATTTTCTCATAAGGAGAAGTCGCCCCCAGTAGAGAGAATGAAGGTTTAAGACACTTCTGCATTGGGTTTACTTTTCAGACTCTAATAACTAGGGATGCACCGATCCGACTTTTTCAGTCTGGATACTGAAAGCGATACTTGGGCTTTGAATATCGGCCAATATCGAGTACCATTCCGATATTAGTGTTTATGAATAAGCTGTGTGCTTCCCTGTGTGTAAGTGACCGGGATCATTCTTTTATGTGTCAGGCTTCACTTAAACATTGTAAAACACTGTAAAAATGTCACAAATATATACATAGATATAAATTTACCGAATTGTTATTTATCATTAAGATAATTAATTGTGAACCAGCAACTTGGTAATCTTTAAAGTATACAGAAAATACAATTGAAGTGTCAACCTTTTTAATGCAGCAACAAAGTGGTCGGTTAAGATATTGGTATGGGTGCACCCCTCGTAAAAGTATGAATTGAGAATGTAACAAAACACTTAATAAAGGTGACTCACTTAGTTGGGTTGTTGGTGGTTTGCTTGATGACCTGGCAGTATATCTCATCTCTCATCAGCTCCCTTTCCTTCCCTAACTGAACAGAAGAGAGAAACTCACATTTAAATTCCATAGAAGTCTATTTGAGGTCCATCAAACTCACACAGAGACTCAAAAGCGCTACATGAATGCAGCCCATTCGATTACACTGCTTGAAAGAGCACTGACCAGTAAAATGTGGCTCAAGCAGTCTGTCTGGGTGTTACTCTTCGTCATTGGCATGTCACCCATGAACTGCATCAGGTCTGGAGGGACAGATAGAAGGGAGAAGGAGTGATAGAGGAACAGAGTAACTGTGGTCGCAGTGTGTATCAGTATGGCTCGCGTGGATGCACTCACTCATGAAGCACTGGACAGACAACTCATTGATTTCAGGATCATTGTAGAGAATGAGGGACTCCTGTATGGGAACCTGGATGAACGAAACCCAATGCAGTCAGTAGAGTTGGATTTATTCATGAAGACCCACTGACATCGAGATCTCTACAACAAGAGTGACCTGAGAATTAATTTCACGTTTACATATCCAAACAAGACAATTCAGTCATCTGGTGACATATTTGCTCCCTCTGATCTCAACTAATGGTGTTCAATAATCTTGGCAATTTAGGCAGCATAGCCATATAAATAAAACCTTTTTATATATAAAAAGGTACATATATTCCTTTTAGATGTCAGTATTGACCTCTGACATTTTTATGTAACTTGTTTCTCATTATCTCTGCCAGACGTCAGTCCGTGGGGGGGATCATGTGTTTGGTTGTGTATGTGTGTGCATGCGTGTATCTATCCATCTGTCCACACCACATCTAATCTCACATACTACTAAACCCATCAGTGTAATTTATTTTTTTTATTGTTTAGGCTCACTCTCATGGCATCGTCTCCAGCCTCAGAGGGCAGCTGATTTCAGCTTAATCATTAAATCTAATTTTTTCAATAAAATGCACTGTTATTCCTATTTGTCCACTGGGGGTTGCACTGTCCTAATAATAGTAGCGGACCCTATACCGCAATGCTATTATAGATCCCACATGCTTACGTACAGTCTATATATATGAAATAAGTTTGACACCCGTGCACAATTCATTACTTGCCTACGGTCAAACCGAAGGCAGGCAAAGACAGCAGAGCATTTAGAAGCTGAAGAGCGAAATATTAGCCTCAGAAGTTAGCGGTTTTCCAAAATCAGAGATAAAATAAGATAAAATATTGAACTTGTGCTAATGTTGGCTACTATTTGCTAATATGTTTTCCACATCAATTGTATATGTTTCACTGCCCCCAAGTGGCCGAAAATGAGTTCAACAAAATCTTGTGAATAACATTATGAAAAGCCTTGGACACATCTACAAACAGTGCAGTGGCAGCAGTTATTGTACTATAAGAAGGTCCAACGTCCGACTGCTGTGGTTGAAAGACATTATTTCCTTCACCAGTGATTCCAGGATTTTAGACGAGACAGCTTATATATATATATATATATATAGGCATATTGTGCACGGATACGATGTGTCTGTGTACAATAACTGTGGTATGAGCAAGTACAAACCGTGAGATATGATGTTAAAGGTATTGTACAGTCTTACTTCTGTGTGTTGAACCGCCTCTGCAAAATTCCTTCCACTTGCTGGCAGACCTGTAGTCCCCACTCTTTAATGAACAAATAATAGTAGCACAAAATTAGCCATGACACGTCATGAACCCAAACCATCCGAACATAGTCATCAGCCTTCTATCATACCGGAAATACTTCATGGCAAAGTCAGCCATGCCCGAGAGGATCTCCAGCTCATGGAATGAGCCCTGGATTGAGCTCTGGAAGGATCTCCAGACCGAAACCTCTTTACCGAGCAGTTCTGAATCAACGCTGCCCATCCGTCTGCTGATAGGACCTGGAGACTGGCCCTTGGGGGGACCGGCAGGTGTAGCGCCCCTCATGCTTTTCCTCCTGTCATCTCTTCGGTCAAGGTGCAGAGAGTGGTAGTCCGGGGCCGCGGATGGCTGGGTGAGGTCATCCGGGAAAAGACCAGAGCGCCCTCTCATGGTGCCAAAACGCCAGCCTGGTGGAAACACACACAAAAATGTTTTTTGATGAGAAGGAGATTACGATATGCATTAAACAATGACCATAATAGGCATATCTGAACTTAAAAACTATTGTGATCTCACCTATCTGGAGTCCTTCCATTGGCAGCAGTTTGATGGTGTCACCCTTGCTGAAGCTAAGCAGACTCTTGTCATCTGTTACAAAACTCCTTAGGGCAACCACATGGCCTGAGTCCTAGAGGGCAGAGAGAAAGATGTTCAGGAGGGTAATATGTGGGTCACATGGCCCAAAGACGCCCCAAAGAATCAAAATGAAAGATAATGATGAATGATTATGATTTAAGACTAAAGGAGTACCTTGATGAGCTCCTGGAGGAAGAACCGGATCATGGCAGTTATCCGAGGAGCTCTGGATGATTGCATCACCAACTTTTCACTTGACAGCTCCAGTTCCACTCTGTCTGCACCCTGGAGGTCAACTGACAGCAACTCTGAAAAACTATATTCATGCAGACCTGAGTTAACATTCTTTTTCTCATTTTATTTAGTTAGGTTTTCAAATGAAGCTTTAAAAGTCTGTCGGCAAATTTTATGACATCATCATCCTAATAAATGTTAATGTTTGTATACAACTGTAATTCATGGTGCTATTAGATTGCTGCTGGACTGTGTCTTCCTTTGAGTGCGGCAAGCAGGAGAGCAAACAGTTTTTTGACTGCAATGAAAATGGCTAAACACCAAGAACTCCTGTCTGTTTCTCCAAACTCCGTCTACTGTAGGTTGACTGTTGGTAACATACAACCACACTTCAAATAATCCAAAGCATCCCTTTAAGATGCCAGGGAATCTTTAGCACACCTGACTCAAGAAATTGCCCTTTTTTACACCCCATCAGTGTGCACTCTGGAAAGGGTATTAAGACGGCGGTTCTCCCATTATAAACGCAGACCCTTTGTGGGTTCACAGGCAAAAACTATTATGTTTTTCTCTAACCTCCTAAATTACAATTAGAAGCCTTACTACCTTGTTAGAAAATAAGCAAGATGAATTAGAGAGAAGGAGCAGGAGAGGGAGGGAGAGAGAGAGGCTACCAGAAAAGCAAAATTAAACCAAAAACAACTTTCTTTACTTTTACTTTACTTTAACTCCTGTATTTAATTGTGGCTACTTACTAAATAGAAAAAATATATAAAGATGCACTTCCTGGCTAGCTGCCTCTGGGACTGAAGCTGCACAGCTGCAACACCAAGTGTGAGGCCCGTCTGAGGGCCAGGTAAGTAAAGAGCTCGCCAGTCAGAGGATGTCTTTCAATCGTATTTAATACGGGCCGAATATTTAGCATTACACAGAAATAAAAACTAACAACTTCCTGTCTTTGACATAAGACTCACATTTTATGTGATGAAACTGAGAAGGTGTGTATGCGGGCTTCACGTTTACCTGTAGCTTATGAGCAGACGGAGGTGTTTGGGGTTGATGCCTGATGCTCTGACCATCTTCAGTAGACGAATGCCCCGATGAGACACGCCCAAAACCTGAGCATCCCCACTGTCCGACTTCAACAGATACAAAGAGAAGATGCTTGTCAATACCTGCAAGTGGTTAGTGGTCTGGCAACAACTAATGCTTGAAACGAGACAGCCTGTATACCCCCTAAATATATTGTATATGTCACAATAAAACAAGTTTGACCCAGGGGGCAACCTCTGGTTCTGCCGAGTGAAGCCAATGCTGAAGTCTTAAAACTTGCATTCTCTCTACGACCAGCAGGAGGCGACTCCTCCGGTTGCAAAAAGAAGTCTGGTTGTATAGAAGTCTATGAGAAAATTACTCTACTTCTCACTTGATTTTTTTATTACCTCAGTAAACATCGTAAACATGAGTTTATGGTCTCAAATCTGTAGTTTCAAGTCTTCTTCAATACAGCATGATGTTCATTTAGTAAATTATGGTCCATTTAGAGTCAAATAGACCATAAAGCAGGGTATGCTTTAGGGCGGGCTTACTGTGATTGATAGGTCACTGCCGCTATACGAAGTCTCTATGTCTCTTCTCCGCATTCCAACATGGCGATGGCAAAATCAGCGAAATCAAGGCTTCATAACGGTAGTCCACAAACCAATAGGTGACGTCACGATGACGAAGCCATGGATTCAGTAGATTGCCGGAAGAACCAGGTAATTTTTTCGCCACTGAGAAACCTTCAGAAGGAAATGATCGGAGCGCCTGATGTATACTTCTCTATATACATCCGTGACAGGCTGAAGATGTCTCTTATTATTTTGTAACGTATCATCAAGTTAGCGAGACGAGTCAAATCGCCCGTGAAAAACATCATCGTAAATGCTAAACTCTAAACAAGCTGCGGATTGAGCCCATGTTACTTGTAGAACAGCCTAGTGATGCTGCTAGTTTATAAACCGCTCAACAATCTTGGGCAAAAATAAGTAACGTAAAATCAGTTGGACTCATTACAAAGGACTCTCTTTAGGAAACAGTCAACTGGTAACCTTGAGTCAGAACCCAACATGGTGAAGCTACTTTTAGCTACGATGCTGTACACAGATGAAACCAACTTCCTGATGTTCCTCAAATGTTCCGCAACTAGAAAAAAGCTGTCTTTCTCCACCATTGATTGATTGGTTTCCTCTACTGAACCTTTATTCCCTTGCGCATTATATCCAATTTTCACATTTTGTTCACATCTTAATTGATTAATTTCTGTTTTTTATCGTGTATTGTTTTCAACTGTTGTTCTAATGCCTTTCTTTTCCTGCGTAAAGCACTTTGAATTGCCTCTGTGTTTGACATGTCCTATACAAAAATAAATCAGGTGCCTGGCCTTGCATTGTCATAGAACAAAAAGACACTCCACATTATCTCCAACTCTTTTTGTTATGATCACCTTCACAGGGAACAGACGGATGAAGTAGTTTTCCCAGTTGTCTCGAGCAGCAATGACAATCCTCTTCTTCATGCCGTCATTCTGGATGGTGCTTATAGTCATTCCCACACTGAAATTTGCTAGAGATTAAATGAGGGAAGAAAAATTGGATAACGGTCAGCAAACTACTGGAAGAACAAAATAGAAATGACATAGTTTATATTCAGTGAGTAATCATTCCAACCATATATAAAGATTAGTGCTGGGCAAGTTAACGCGTTAATTTCGCGTTAACGCATTCATTAATTAACGCCGACAATTATTTTATCGCACGTTAACGCATTTTTTAAATTTATTATAATTTTTCTTTTTTTTTTTTTAATTGAAAGACAAGATACAATACATATACATAACAACAAGAGGATGACAAGAACAGTGGGATAAAAGCCAGCAAACATCCTATAGTCAGTTGTGTGTGTGTGTGTGTGTGTGTGTGTGTGTGTGTGTGTGTGTGTGTCCTTGAGCCTTTTGAGATGGGAAAAAAAATAATAATAATAATTAAAAAACAACAACAACAAAAAACAGGTAAGTATTTTTAATTCATTATTATTGTAACAGACTGTCTCATGTTTATCGTTTTGTATTGGAGATATGATGTCCCTTCAGGGTTGCCGTAGACAAAAGGCGACTTCCGCTTCTGGTCGAGGGGGGGGGGGGCAGAAATAAAGAGAGAAGCTGCACCAGCTGTTGCTCTCCCTGGAGACTACTGGACATCGCTGCGGTAAAGTCAGCAGACACTCAGATCTCCGTGGTCAACTCAGCAGACACTTACATTTTAGTGCACCTACAGTATATGCTGAAATTCACGGTAAACGCATTTAAACGGCACAGATCGGGAGCGAGCGAAGGACTTTGAAAGTTAGCGGAAACATTAACGTGAGACAACATCCGGTTTCTTCAGACGAACATCCGGTTTTCAGAATAAGATATGAATGATATGAAAATATGAATTATATTCACATTAAGTATAAAACATGCTACCTGCATCTCGTGAACCAAACGTTATTGCACTTTTGTTCATATAGCAGTACTTTTAAAATAAAAGTGCGCAATACACACTACTTTTGAATTCATTATTGAACTTTGCCATAACAATGCAATTAATCGCGATTAATCGCAAAAAATCCATGCGATTAATCGCGATTAAATATTTTAATCGTTGCCCAGCACTAATAAAGATAGATAAAATGACAGCTGCCCGAAAGGGAAGTGAAGCCACAACATCTTCAATGTTAGCGGATGAGACATGGGCCAAACTAATGGTTTTAGTCATTGTAGGTAGTTCTTGTCACACTGATGTATGTTGAAGTGTTCTTTTTATGATTTGTTTGGTTTTAATTAGTTAATTGATGCTGTAAGCAGGACGTCGTGATTGACAGCTGCTCTGAGTGAAGTAGCCGGAGAGCTGGAGGCTCGGGAATTCTACGTAGAGTAGGGACGTGGTGAGGAGTTATGGTGTCCATAACCCACAATGTTTGTTTCAACGATCTTCACATGCAGTCTGTGGTTTGTACCGCATCTGACCTTGTCGCTATAGCTTAACAAAATCTCCACTGACAATCAGCGCTGTAGGACAGGTTTCTGTGTTCATATCAAACATGAAGCTTAAATTACAAGTCTGTGTGATAAAACATCAACGATCTGATCATAACTGTATTTATAGAAACATTAGAATTAGTTGTGTCATTCTTGCCAAACAGCTACCGTGGTGCTAACGCAGCAGCTAGGCGGCTGTTACGCTAACAACATGCGGCTGTGCTTGGTCTGTGATTGGTTCGGGTGCGATTGCTCAGACTCTGGCCCCAAATGACGTTGAAATCTTAAGATGGCAGCTCCCGTATCCGAGATATTTTGGCATCACTTTTGTACAGCGGGAAGAAGTGGAGACCCATCGTCCATCTATATACAGTATATATACAGTCTACCACTTGTGAATGACTTTAGCTTTTAACAAAAACATTGGTCAACATTGTCACAACTGTGGCATCCAGCATTAGGATGATCCGTCAAACACTCTCACCCAGCAGGTCCTTCATCTTCCTCCTCTCCTCTCTGCTGATCCTCACACAGCTGTCAGAGTAGGTGTCCCTCATGATCTAAAACACATCATACAATGACAATGGGAGGAGATTGATGTCTACTGAATACATGTATTATATATAAATAAATAAATAAATAAATATACTAACCTGTTCACACAACAGATTGAGGATGTAGGGCTGGTTGAACATCTCTCTGGGGTAAAACACCTGCACACAAACAAAAAGATTCATAGATCCCATCCCCTGTACAGTGAGAGGCATTATTGATGAGTCTAACGCACTTGTGTCGGTCTGAACACATCTGTATTTCCTTTATTGTTAATACCAGCTGCGACAGCTTGTTTCATGTCAAAAATGTGGTGCTGGAGACACCTACTGTATCAGGGACTACCACAGTAGAGGTTTAGAGTACTTTGCCAGGTGTGGTGTAAATGCGACAATGGCATAATCACACATCCAGCAGACATACACACAACATAAGCATTTATTTGGCTCTTCCAAAAGCTCTGTTTTGGTCTCCACCAGCCTCCTGAGAAAATAGCTTAAGCTGCTAAATAAAAACTGCGTAGAGCTGAGGGGAACTGCAGAGCTGGTGATAATTCTCTTTGGGTTGCTCACTATGAGGGACACCTTTCGCATTACATAGTCATTTGATCCATTGTCAATGTAAAAACGTTGATTAGTGCAGCTTTGAGGGAATTACTGGTCTCCTGATAAATGTTGTGTGCGTGTGTGTGTGTGTGTGTGTCTTACTTCTTTTCGAAGGAACAGTTTTCCTGGCATGTTGGAGTAAGAGAAGTAAACCCCAGCAGAGAAGCGGTGGAGCTGGGAGCGAATCCCTTCCTCATCTGGCATCACATCTGCAGTTAATAAACAGCAGATGGAGGGCACTGACTGACATGAACTCCCTTACATTCGATAACATTGGGTTGAATGGTAGTTTGCAGTGACTAGCGGCCAAAATACGTCACATGACTGCGTAAAACACGATGTCTGGAGAACACGGTGAGAGCGGCACTAACTGAGAGACGGGGCCGGCATGGGTGGCGGGTCGGGGATGCTCTGAAGGATGGGCGCTGGGCGCGGGGGAGGCTGCGGGGAGTCGGGGGGAGTGGGCGAAGAGTGTTTGGAGCGCTGCGAGCCGAACACGTCCTCCAGGGAGCGCTGTTTCTGCCTCATGTTGCTGGAGATGACGCGGGGCCCCCTGGTGGAGGGAGGAGAGGAGGCCTGTGGGGACGGGGTCCTGGGAGGAGGTGGCTCCCACTTACGCTCGACTGGTGGAGGGATCCACTGTTTCTGCGAGCATCAAGAAGGTGTGAGCATGTAGCACACGGTATGTTCTAGACAGAGATACTCAACAGAATAATGAAGCTAACAATAAAATAACTTTTAATTTCTTGAGAAATTCAGATGCATTTTCTTTGTTTTTGTAGTTGCGGTTCAACTCTCCATACTGACCTTCGGTTGTGGCACTGGTGCTTTGTCTTTGAGTTTGGCCAGAGCTTCCTCTTTGGGGTCATTCTTCTTTAAAAAATGCCGTACAGGAGGTCTGTGAAGAGGATGAAAAACAGCACATAGTTATTATTTCTAGACTGTTTGTAAATGGTACATAGACTGTACTTGTATAGTGCTTTTCTAGTCTTCCAAACCACTCACTCAAAGCGCTTTAACACTACATGTCATCATTCACCCATTCACACCCATCAGGACTACCTAATCATTCATACACCGCAGGAACAGCCTGCGGGAGCAATTTGGGTTTAAGTGTCTTGTCCAAAGACACATCGACGTGGACTAGCGGAGCCGATCCTCTGATTGAAGGACGGCTCTGCTCTATCACTGAGCCACAGTCGCCTATTTTCTGGATTATTTCTAGAATTTCAAGGACTCCTGTTAGTGTCTGGTCCAGTGGTGTGAGAGGAGAACATATTTGCAATTGATGTAGATGAACAGCTGATTGGGCTGGCTTGAGATCAGCTGCTATCAGCTGACATTGCTGGGATGTGAGCTGGGCTTCAATCAGTGGCCTGCCAGAACTAAGGCCAGGCTCAGTATTTAAAACATCTCTTTCAGCTTTGAATGCTGGGATTTCTGAGGCTGCTTCAATAAACACTTTTTCCTAATTCCTCCCTCATTTGCTAGAAGGGAAGCTTTTGTGTTGATTGACATCGGGGAATTTTCTGAAGAAATGTGTTAGTTGATTGAATCTCTTTAAGCAGTATGATCAATTTCTGCAAGGTGAGCTCATTGAAAATGTTGCAAACATTATTCAGACATTTAACTTTCATGTCATTTATTTTACCTTTGAAAGTATAGCTAAAACATTCAATACTTATTTTCAATTTCATGAATTGAGAGCGTGATTTCACTTCATGCTGGCTGCACAATAACGCAACGACAATGTTCAAAAGGTGACGTGGTGCCCTTCCGATGTTTCTACAACTGCAAAATTATATTGACTCCCATTTAACACTGTAATTCATTCAGGGAGAAAAGCTGTCTAAGCCATAAACTGTAGATAAGAAGTGGACGTCACCCATTGGTTTGTGGACTGCCGTTGTGAAGCCTTGAGTTCGGCAATTTCGACGTCACCATCTTGGCTTTTTTTTTAATTCAATGAACGGAAGTTACCATATTTGGAATGCGGAGGAGTGACGTAGAGATGCCGTATATGGCTCTGGTAGCAGCTGCGACCTGTCAATCACAGTAAGCCCGCCCTAAAGCATACTCCTCTTTATGGTCTATTTGAATCTAAATGGACCATAATTTACTAAATGAACATCATGCTGTATTGAAGAAGACTTGAAACGAGAGATTGACACCATAAACTCATGTTTACAATGTTTACTAATAAATCAAGAGAGAAGTAGAGTCATTTTCTCATATACTTCTATACAACCAGAGGAGTCGCCCCCTGCTGGTCAGTAGAGAGAATGCAAGTTTTAAGACACTTCCGTAGAACTTCACGCGGCAGAACCGGAGGTTGTCGCCTGGTCCACGCAGAGTCCAGCAGGATATTAGATCAGATGAAAGTTTGAGTATGTGTGTATGGACCTCATATAGGAGCAGCATTGAAACTGACCTGACAGGCTCAAAGGGTTTGGCTTCCGGTTGGGGTCGGCTGTTATACATTTTGATGATTTCCCGGATGTTGGAGGTGGGTTCGGGCTTGGACTTAGTGAGAGGAGCTGGGGTCGGTGCTGCTGGTGGGGGGTCCACAACTCTGGCAGGAGTGGTGTGGAGACGCTTCACTGAGATGAGAGACAGAAAGTGAATACCAAGCTGCATGATAAAACAGACATTTTAGCTGCATGCTCCCTTTTTCTTTTTGGCCCTTTTTGAGAATTGAAATCTACAAAGTACACAATATAACAGCTCTCAGAAAGTAAAGTAACATTTCTAGATTACACTAAATATTATCTAGTGCATGGAACTTATTTCATCTTCTCACCAGCGGGCTTAGGTGGTGCTGGTGGGGGTGACAGACGTGGCGATGGCGGGGAGCGTTGCTGCTGTCTGGGTGGGCTGGAGGAGGCTGGACGAATATTTTGGGCTTTAGATCCACCTCGGGGCTGAAAGCCTGGAGGGCAGTGGAGGAGAGAGATAGTGAAGGAAATGCATGACTTAAATTAATTCTTATAAGCACAGTGATTTAAATTGGTTAACATTTTAACAGCAGTGAGCCATTACAAAGTTTTCATCACATTCAAGCGAGATAGCTTGAAGCCCCAACCTCCCTGCATTTATGTTCTATACTAAGCTAGATATAGCAAAGTCAAAAGTGAATTAATCAGCAAGTATTGTCCATCAAGGAAACATCAAGTATTACTTGTCAGCTTCACTCACCAATCTTCCGGAAGTATTCCTTCTTCTCTCTGAAAGACTGCAGGTCATCAGGTTCTGGTGAGTCCACTTCTCTTTCTGGCTGTAGGAGGAATAAACACGGACACACAACCGCATGAGGAGAAAACAGACCCGGTGATATTACATTACAGTCATTTCGCAGACGCTTTTATCCAAAGCGACTTACAATTCAGATTCTATCACACCGTAGCTACGGAGCAATTTTGGGGTTAAGTGTCTTGCTCAAGGACACATCGACATGAGACTAGCGGAGCCGGACCCGGGGATCGAACCGCCGATCCTCTGATTAAAGGCCAGCCCTGCTGTCGACTTAGCCACCGTCGCCCTATATCTGTAATATCTGTACTTTCACATTTTAGGGAATTAAAGGATAATGTTACAGTATTCCATAGCTTTCTGCATTGTCTACAAAGTTCACATGCAGAGTCGAAAACAGCAATGAATGTCTCTGCTAATAAGTGTTATCGCACTGGGTTACATGGCTCCTTCGTTACCATGGACACACATACTGTAGGTTATTTCGTCTCAATCCCACAAACACCGGCCTGCCGCCACAAATACTCACTAGAACACCAAATGTGGATTAATCCGCCACTGAAAATTTCCTCCTGTTTGAAATAATAACAATAATACTGACCGCCTCACCGTTGCATGCCTCATTCAACAATTAAGGTCACATACATCCATGTCTGTCCAAAATGTCATCGCTTCATTATTTTATCCTATTAGACATTTGTGTGAAATTGTCAAAACTAGCATATTGATTATTGAGTAATGGCCAGGTGGACATTTGTCTCAAATTTGAAGAACTCACGTCCAGACATTCCTGAGATATCTCGTTCACAAGAAAGAACGTACGTACTTACGGAAAGACAGACAATCGAAAACATAATGCCTGCGTGAAGTAAGCTTTAAGATTTATTTATTTTTTGTCAAGAAAAAGCATACAACTTGAGCACACATACCCACGGGGGGAAATGGGCCACTGGCAGAAGTGTCAGGTAAAACAGAAGAGATGAAATGATATGTGAGAGCACTACGCAAGAAGGCTGCCATCTTGAGTTGAAATCATTAACCCTACCAGCCTTCCACCGATTCGTCAGCAAATGACCTAACAATTCTGCATATATGCGACAAGTACTAGCCGATAAATTTGAACTGCCGTGCAACTGCCAATGGCTGTGAAAGAGGTAATTTGGTATGTGGATGAGAGGGCACTTCAACGTTTCGGAAAAAGTCTTGTGCATACTTATTACTAGTTGGTTAAGCTCCAGGGTGTCAGCATTGTCATGCCACTCATAGCACTTTTACACTACATGTCATTCACCTATTCACACTCATTCATTCACCACAGGCCTTCGGAAAGCAATTTTGGGGTCAAAGCCCCTCAACATGGACTGGAGTAATTTAAGAAATGAAATACCGAAAAATTCAGGTATAGTTAGATAAGGATGTGTAAAAAAAACAAGCAGCAATGGAGTACACTAAAAATACACTCTATATTCAGCAATACCTCTGGCTCAGGCTGCTTGTAGCCGGAGGTGCGTTTAGGCGCAGGCGCTTTGGGCCGGGCAGGTGGGGGCGAGGGAGATGGAGGGGAGGGCGAGCGTGAGCGTTCCCAGGACCGCCGCTCGGACTGACGCTTCCACTGCTTCTCCTCCCACCGCTGCTGCTTTGTCTCCTGCTCCTTCTGCTTCCTCTGCTGCTCCTGCGTCTGCTGCTGGGACAGACTCATCGCCTGCAGGGTCATCTGCTGGGCCTACAGAGGAGGAGGAGGAGGAGAGAGGACAGGTAAGCAAGGAGCTGGAGGGGAGGTGGGAGAGGGAGTTAGGAAAGGTGGATGTGGGTGGAGGGGCGAATACAAGATAATAAAAAAAGGATCATCGTGTTAGAAGGAGTGTGTGCCTGTCCTCACCATGAGAAAGGCCTGCTGGTTGATGAGGGCCTGCTGCGATGCTGCCATCTGCATAGGGTCAGCAACAGGCGGGGCAGGCATGGGAGGCATCATCATGGCTGTGTAGGGATATACACAACAAACTGTTTTTCAGGCAGAAATCAGCTACATTTAAATCATTAACAAAGGAACTGACACAACATAACATTCAACACACACACATGCATATACTATGAGAGAAATTGTCGAGGGGATAATGTCCATATCCTTCCAAATCATGTTTCTCCCAGGCGGCAACCTCCAGTTCTGCCGAGTGAAGCCGATGTGGAAGTATCTTAAAACTTACATTCTCTTTACTGACCAGCAGGGGGCGACTCCTTTGGTTGCAAAAATAATTCAGATTGTATAGAAGTCTATGAGAAAATGACTCTACTTCTCTCTTGATTTATTACCTCAGTAAACATGGTAAACATGAGTTTATGGTCTCAATCTCCAGTTTCAAGTCTTCTTCAATACAGCATGATGTTCATTTAGTAAATTATGGTCCATTTAGAGTCAAATAGGCCATAAAGAGGAGTATGTTTTAGGGCGGGCTTACTGTGATTGACCGGTCGCTGCCACTACCAGAGCCGCATATGGCGTCTCTATGTCACTCCTCCGCATTCCAAATATGGTAACTTCTGTTTATTGGCTGCAAAAAAAACAACGCGTCGATGGCCTTAATCCAAGATGGCGACGGCGAAATCGCCATACTCGAGGCTTCAAAACGACAGTCCACAAACAAATGGGTGACGTCATGATGACGACGTCCACTTCTTACAAACAGTCTACGGTTTCTCCTTACCAATTATATATAAGCCTTTGTGTCCAGAATATTTGTCTCTGCAAATTCCTGTATGGAGGGTGTAAGAAGCTGCTCCATTGCTCTTAAGTCCATATATATTTGAGCCAGTTCATTAAAAGGTGCAATGTGTTGAGGTGTTGACGATATGTTAAAGACGTCTATGTATTGTGTAGCAGAGATATCTAATGAAATTAACATGCTAACCAGCTAGCCCCAGCCCCCCATGTCTTGTAACACGGCTTGTAGCTCGGGAGGCGATAGTGAGCCACTGGAGCGTCCAGTCTGTCCTCAGTCCAACATGAGAGGACGATGTAGTAGAGCTGCCCCGAGGGTCCATGTACGTTTTGTTTATTGAATTAAGTTCAAAGATGGAGGATTACCTGGCATGGTTGGCATGGTTGGCATCATGGGAGTTACACCATAGCTGGGCATCGAAGGGTTAACCACTTGTCCTGAACAGAGGCAACACAGTGACGTAAAGATTAAAAAACAGAAAGACAGACACTTTCTTCTGCCACTTAATGTGGAAAGGATTCAAGGCCTGAGGACATTTCTCCAACAGGACACAAAACCTATTACAAATGAACTTTCTCACTTACCCATAGTATAGCTTGGCATTGTCATGGGCATACCTGAAGAAAAAATGTATTAATTGTAATTTCAATTCATAGAGACTGAGGTACTTCATTTCAAAATGGGAAATTCTGGCTAGCTAATGGCCGCTGCTTTGCACTGTGCTAATACGGTTGCTGCTGATAATGCCTTCCCGACCCACGGTGTTATCGCAAAGGGTAGCGCGGCGCCCAGTTTGCCTACCAGTTCCATACATGGGTCCAATCCCTCCTCCTCCTCTCATCCTGCGGTTTAGCATGGCTACTCTTTCCATGTCCTACACACACAAACACACAAACAAACACACACACACACAAAGTAATACAATACATCAGAGATACACAATCCACCAGGGACCAACAAACATGCACAATACACCATCAAAACATTCTCTAGGGACAGAAAAATGTAGCCTTTACAATAATTACAGATACAGTTTGAAAAATAAGATAAAACTGATGACATCACTGACCGGAGGTCCTTGGTCCAGTACAGGGTCAAACAAGTCATCAACGTAGGCATCCATCTGTCGACCTCGACCTATATTGAGTTGGAGAAGAGAGATGAGTTGATAATTAATAAATTAGTGTTGATGAGAATTGTATACTTTATACATACTTTTATACTTAAATTGTCCTCTGATTCCTTGGGAGTCAGTCAAGAGCGAGCGAGTACACAGGTTTACAGCTTGTTGTATTACCCAAGTGGCAAAAATCAATTATTGCAGGTTTAAAAAGTTTTCATGACAATTGGAGAATTACGCCCATTTATTAGTTACTTCTGTTAGTCAATTTACAACAACCTGCACAGCTGTGTCTACCTCACCTACACTTTTAAGATCCGTTTGAATTGCTGAACATGAGGTCTGGAACAAGGTTTCTTCTACAAAACTGGCCTCAGGATCAGATAATAATGCAGGGCCCAGTTAAAAACCCTTGTCACTTAGTGTAGCGGTGCATATTGCCAAACAAATTAGCAATGTATCAAATTACCACAAACTAGACACGGTGTTAGCCTGTGGCCTTTTGGGTCGCTCTGAGGGTCTAGGACCTCTGGGTAGCAGTTGTCTTTTTTGCCCAATTGGTAATCAAGCCTTGAGTTGGGACATGGCAAAGTCACTTGATTACATTTGTGCCCGAGTTCAAACAGTCTCAGTTACATGACCTCGAAAGGCCAGCCGGTGTGAGCACAGTCACTTAGAACACAATCGAGTGAAAGTAAATCCGAAGTAACTGATAGACCGAGAGAACAGCTGTAGAATGATTGAGGTGAGAGTTTGGCAGATCAGAGGGCGTGTGTAGGAACAGATTGGCAGAAATGTCTGATTCATCATTTGCCATTGATGAAAACACCTGAGAGATGGTAGGAGAGCAACAGAGCCTATGGTGTTCAGTATGCTTCAATCAACTAGTTATCTAAACACCTCTGCTCTTCTCCCTGTACACCAACAGCTGCACCTCTAGTCACCAGTCCGTCAAGCTCTGGAGCTCTCGTACGACACCACCCTCAACGCTCTTAAGGCAGTGGAGATGATTGTGGATTTTTTGAAGAACACAGGCCAGCCCGCCCCTATGACCCTGTGTGACTCCCTGGTCACCGCAGCGGAGTCCTTTCGATTCCTGGGCTCCATCATCACTCAGGATCTCAAGTGGGAGCTGAACAAGAAGGCGCAGCAGAGGATGTACCTCCTGCAACAGCTGAAGAAGTCCAACCTGCCAAAGACAATGATGGTGCACTTCTGCACTGCCATCATTGATCATTGCGTCCATCCTCACCTCCTCCATCGTGTTCATCGCCGCAGCCACTGCCAAGGACAATGGCAGATTGCAGCATATCATTCGCTCTGCTGGGAGGGTGATTGGCCGCAACTTGCCATCCCTCCATGACTTTTACGCCTCCAGGACCCTGAGGGCGGGCAAGAAAGATTGTCGCCGACCCCTCTCACCCTGAACACAAACTGTTTGAGTCCCTTCCGTCTGGCAGGAGGCTGAGGTCCATCAGGACCAAAACCTCATGCCACAAAAATAGTTTCTTCCCGTCCACAGCCGGGCTCATCAACAAGGCCCGGGAGCCTTACTGAATTTTACATCCCCAGGACAAGTGCATATGTTTACACATCCCTCCACAACTCCTCACTTTAAACAGACACTTAACACTTAAAGAACAGACTTATTTTAACGTACTCTTATATTGTTTGTTTATCATATTCTATTGTAAATTTTCATATCTTTATTTGTGTTTCTTTGTTTATTGTCATGCACGAAGTGCAAAAAAACTTGCCAATAAACCGTTTCTGATTCTGACCAGAATGGCCATCGTCATACTCTGTTTGTTGATCCAATAATCATTTAACCAGAGGCATGCTGACATTAACATTTCACACCTACCTTCCTGTGGATAATCTCTTCCCCAGCGGCTTTCCTCGAAAGGAGGCAGCCCAGGAGCTTGCATGGGTGGCGCTGGTGGAATGAACTCGTCCAGATCTGTAGCCGGCATCCTGAGAGGAAAGAGAGGCACACGGGTGCTCATTGTGTTAGCAAATTCTTAAAACAAACTGCGGATTTGGCCCCAAAGATTATGGCTACTTGTTCAGCGCTCTACCTGTCTCCCTGGCTGCTGAACAGGTAGTCAGAGTTTGTAGAGGAGGGAGTCCCTGGAGGTGGCAGCACTTCAGCTTCGGCTCCAGCCAGAAGATCAATGACAAAGTCCGAGCCAGCCAGATCTGACCAGCCTTCATCGGTCAGAAGAGACACCGACCAGCCTTGCATGGCCTCCGACACACCTCTATGACACACCAATGTACAGGCGAGGGATGAAAACTATCACATGGAGCAGGATTGACCAGGGAATTTGGACGTCAAGAAACATTAAAGGGAGACAATACAGGTGAATGGGGTAAACATTTTAACCAATAGATATCACCATGAAACTTCCCCCAGTTGATTTACTTACATCAAGACATTGATAGATAGATAGATCGATAGATATGTACTTTATTCATCCCCAGGGGGAAATTTGTATGTTGTATATTGATGATAAGATATTTGTATTAGAAGTTTTTTGAAATGTTATGTTTAAATATGCAAATTAGGCATTATCTAATGGTAACTTTTGGTGAATTAAGGAGAAATCTACAGACGTGAATAGACAAAGTGGTAAAATAAACACCTAAACGTGTAACTTGGATGTTTTTCTTTGCATTACTCTGCATGAAAAGCAATGTATTGCCTGTAGTATCTCCCCAAGTTAATTAAGGTTAATAAACGGCATGTTTGGAAGTACCTGAAATGAAGGAGCCATGAGGCGAGCTGCTCTCCTGTGGTCCATGACTCCACCTCAGTTGTCAGCTTCTCATCTGAGACAAAAAAACAAAGGCTTGTTATGGGTTTGTAACAGCATATCATTTTACACTGGTGGCTTGGACAACGACAAAGTGTGTCCAGTTTCTAAAGAGTCAGCCAGTCTCACCGTTGAAGGTGTGTACGTCCAGCAGCATGGTGCCTCTTCTCTGGTTGGTGGTCCACTCAAGCAAGGTGGGGGGGTAGATGCGGGCAGCAGGAGTTGGGAGCTGCAGTGATGTCAGCAGTTTGTGTTGGCACAGCGAGCGGTACTCCCCTGGACCGTGGTCAGACACATACCTGCACAGGGAGCACTGTAGACTGAGTCATGTACAGAAGTCTTTTTCAAAGCGTTTTTCAGAAAGGGTAAATCCAAGCAAACTCTAGTGCTTTCTAGTTTTCAAGAAACAAACAAACATAATTCCGAAGATAAAATATGTAATCACGAAAAGAAAAATCAACACAATGGTTTTAAATCAATTATTCAATACTTTGATTCAATATGGTATGACTTTACACCATTCAGATTGATGATAGCCTGGTAGGCTAATAGAAAGGCTAAGCAAAGCGTAGCACCTACTTGAGTAGGGGTTTGTTCAGTGTTGGTGAGGGGGTGAAGGCACTGAGGCAGCAAGCCAGCAGCAGCCAGCCCCTCAGACTGTCCTGCTCCTCGTGCCGGCCCCATGTGTGATAAGCCAGCTGGGCGAGAATCTCGTCCCTCAAGGCTGGCCGGCTCTGACCCCTCTCCACTATGTAGTTACCCAGCATCTGCTCCTGCCAGCCGCTGAGGTCTGACTCACCCGTAAACCGCAAGATCTGAGGAAAACAAAGGGTCAAAAAATCATAAATGAAACCAATGAGAATAAAATGAATCTAACGGCATCTAATCTAATCACTCCCATATACCAGTTTGTAAATCTCCAGGGCAGTTCTGGCATCTTCAGGCTCCAGAGGGGTGAGGGATATCTGGAGGGGGTATCCCTGAGACTGGCTCCATGTATCCTGTAGGAGGATACAACATGTGGAGACTCAGACAGGAAATACAATCCGTCCTCTTCCATCCGTTTAGGTGTGAGTCTGTTGGATGTCTTTGTATGAGCATTACAGAGAATAATTAGCCTTTAAAAGTCATTTTAATTTAGGATTGAGTCTGATGTTCAAGTGTTGATCAGGCAGAAATATGTTGGGACAGGATGAATCTACATGTTTTCAATACAAATCATCCTTTTCTTGAAACAAGCACAATTTTCCTTATGCTCGTGAGGTTTTCTATGTTTTCCTGCTTTGGTTCAAGTGACAGTATTGACACATGTTTACATTTTTAGATATGTAAGCATCTCATCCTTTTGTAAGAATTTGAATGAACGAATAAATCTCAACAAGTCTCCATATGAAATCCATTTAGGAAGTGGAAGTACATCATGGGAATAGAATGGTTCATTGACTTTCCAATATTAACAACATAAACAAACAACAAAGTCTGCTTTTAAGTCCGTTAGATCAACACATACCACAATTTAAGAAGCAATTGTGCTCCACATTACCTACGTTTAAAAAAAAAAACAACACTGACCTTTCAGACATAAAAACTCAATGATGATTTCCATTATACAGACAATACATTTATACATTTTAACAAATGGGAAAATTGGCAACTAGCTGGTGAACATAGAGCATTTAGCAGCTTAAGAACCACATTTCTTCTCAGGAGTTGGTGGAGATCAAACCTGAGCTAAAAGGAGAGTGAATATCTGAATGACATTCATCAGGTGGACACAAACTCCAAATGACTGGTAAGGAATGCTCTGTGTCTGCTGGACAGGCAACTGTTTGCTAACATGTTTGCCATAATAACTGATGGAGTTGACAAAATGTGTAAGACTATGTCAGTGTTGTGTTTAAAGCTTGTAATGCTGCCCTTAAAGGGGACATATCATGCACATTTCTAGGTTCATAGACTTGTATTTTGGGTTTCTACTCGAACATCTTTACATGCTTCAATGTTCAAATAAACACTTTACTTTTCTCATACTGTCTGTCTGAATATACTTTTATCCAACCTCTGTCTGAAACGCTCCGTTTTAGCGCCTGTTTCTTTAAGCCCCCCACCGCCTGAAAAAGCCCAGTCTGCTCTGATTGGCTTGCTATAGTTTAATGGGCTTACATGTGACTTAAGAAGAGGAGGCATATCTGGATGGCTTGTTGAATCACATGTTTTCTGATCTAGACAGCTCACAAAAAAACTGACTGTGTTGTGTCGTTTCAGTTTGTATGTTGCTAGTATGTGTAACAGTTCGTTGTTGATCCGTAGGGATCCCCCCTTGAGGTTCTGCAGGCATGTGAAATGCAGAATAAATTACACAGTTTAACGTTAACCATCACAGTGTGAAATAAAGTTTTAACGACGATCGTTATCCGCCAATATTCAGTCAAATATGTGATCAGGGCATCATTTATGCTTTTCTAGTCACCGATCTCTGATAATGTTACACTGTAAACAACCAATCAGTGTTTAAATTGACAGGAAGAGAACGTAGGTTCCGTTCAGTTACATTATGTTACATGATGTGTTCACATGTAATCTCGTAAAAAGTAGTGTTGGTGAGAAACTTAAATAAATCCATTTATTTGAAGATGTTTTCACAGCAATATAAATATGTATGAGAGATAAATTATGAGCTGTTTACACTAGCTCTAAACAGCTTATAACACATCATTAAAACTACAAATGACAAGATTTGTTTTAATCCATAAAATACTATATTTCACTTCCTTATCATTTGAATTGTGTGGTTTTATGAGGGGAAAAAAACACTATAGGGGTCTATGACAAAGTAAAAGGATAACATTGAGAATTTTTTTTTGACACTGACTTCAGAGTGGTTGAAATGATTTTTGGGACGATGGCAAAAACAAATAGTCTGGATCCTTGTCGACCAGCTGCTATCATCAAACAACAGTATGGGTCATCAATGATCGTCAATTAGTGTCGGCAGCAAAAAAACGTGATCAGGAATCCCTTTTGTGTTGATCCGATCTGTGATCCGATCTGTGATCCGATCTGTGATCCGATCCGTGATCTGATCCGTGACTCTGATCCGTGATACGATTCGAACCGTGAGTTTTATGATCTGTTGCACTACTAGTTGCTAGGCAGTCCAGATACCCAAATGTACATTCACAAGCACTGGGGAAGTTAGTTTTTCACGATATGTCCTCTCTAAGTAGCCAAACAATTGATACCAGTTTAAAAAGCAGCCACATGATCATTGAACCCTTTTACTAAGTTGTTTTCATCAGCCGGCCTCTTTTGTAGTTATTTTTTAGGAAACGAAAAATGCATTGTCTCATTTATGAAATGCAGTGGTGGGCCGTCAGGGCCTGCAAGGCCTTCTCTGCTGGCCTAAACAGAATCACAAAGTTATAGCTATTTTATAATTTTATATTTTTTCTTAAATACACTACATGTATTGTAATTTATATAAATATTCTTCCCATTAGGTTATTTTCTCATTGCACAGCTACTGTCTTCCTCAGTTGCTCTGCTTCCAGTGCAGCTTGTTTTAAGTAGAGCTTTTATCCAATCAGATTTCACCTCTGTGTCTCTAGGTAAGAAGAGAGACCCGAGGCCTGCAGACTCACAAGTGAATCCCTTTGCAGTTTAAGTGAATGGGGGCGATATTGTTGATTGTCACCAATTAGATCTTTAGTTTGACATGTTGGGCATATTCTTTGACGTGCCAGAGCCTGCTAGCTGGACTACAACTACGTCAGCATTACGTGCAGCTCAGTTTCCATGTGCAGCTCTGCAGTGAGGTGCAGCGTGTGCTGTGATTGGTCAGTGGGCGAGCAAGTGACTATCGTGAAACGAAACTTAACAGCAGAGGCTTAGTCGGAGTAGTGAGAGTTCAAATTGAAAGATATGGAAGAAATTATGACTTTTTTGCATTTTGCTTGGTGTAGATTTTCTTTTCTTTACCTAGCTTTGTTTTTTAACACTCAATGGCTGAAGGAGGAGAAACAGATTTGTGAGTTGGGATTTAACCATGGGATGAAACTCTTTGTCAACAAAGAAAGGAGGATAGAGTTTGTCTTTAAGTGAACAGCATTTGGTAAGTGAACTGCGTTTGTTTTTTTACATCTAATATCTGAATGGCCCGTGCCCTCGAGTGTGTAGCAGAATGTGTGTTGCTGTTGTTTTCCCGTTAAGCTAGTTAGCGTAGCCTCCCAGAACACTTGTGGAGCTTTTTTGTTGTGGTTTTTTTTGTTCCGGTTCAGAGGTCACACAGACCGTTGTCTCCTACATGAGCGCAGAAAACATTATATTTCCCACAATTTAAGCTTCTGCATTTTCCAAATGCACTAGTATTATTCAAACGTATTGTTCGGTTTGTAAGCCTCGTACCGAACGGTTTAATACGAATACGTGATGTTACAGCCCTAGAAACGAATAATAACCATAGCTGTGGCGCCATCATGAGGTTATAAGGTGGTATTTCAGCTGCAGGACAGCAGTGAAGGCCCAGGTATAAAATGCACGGCCTGCCACTGATGAAATGCTATATGGCTACTACCATTCATCATCGTTTGTGCTTACATACTAGCATGAGACTTCAGAGCCGCGGATCGACCGGGGACTCATTCCTGCTGTTGGCCTCTGTGTTCTGATCACAAAACAAGACACACAACAGTCGACCAACAGGCCAGTTTCTTAAAAAAACTGTATTTCTGCACAGCAAATATTTAAATATGACTCTGGATTGTTAAAATGGACGTGTTTTTGCAGGGTGATGGCAACCATCTGAAGTGTGAGGTGGAGCAGGATTTACAGCATAATAAATAAACACAGGACTGGATTATGAATACGTGCATGTGTGTGCCGCAAACCTTGCTCACCTTTAATATGGACTTGGCATAGCGAGAGAAGGGGTATCTGTCTATATCCAGAGGCAGGGCGAGCTTGTGCCCTGCCTTCACCTGCGGAGGTGCCACCTCTGTGACCCCTGAAGCGTGCTGATGTCCTAGTGGACGGAGACGGAAGAGCAATCACAAACCGACAAAAACACACTATGGCAGCACAATATGCAGGCTGTAGTGTTATGTGAAGCTGACCTGCTGCGCTGCACAGTCGGGCTGACAGCTCAGCGGGGATCTCCAACATCCCCACATCCTAACGGGAAGAAAAGAAACAAACGTAAGGAAAACATGACAGTGTGGCTACCACAGGAGAAACGGTTGGCCCTTTTGAGGCCGACTTCTGTTCTTTCTGTGAAATGTTACAGCAGGTTCGCTTTGATTTTATTCCCTTACCATTCCTGGAGACACAGACTTAGTCTTTGTCACTGTCTTCACTTTGTTCTTCTCATGAAATTCCTGAAATTGACACACACACACACACACACTCACAAACGCGGCCAGTTAGTCAATCACACTGCGAACAGCGTGATATCATCTCATAATCGTAGTCATATTCATATTTGATTCAGCTGAATCAGTGAGTAATCCTCTTGTTATTCAGGCACACTCACTGTTCAATCAGACCTATTCTTAGATACCTATCCTGTTATATACTCCTGGAACACCCACAGTCCGGTCGCCCCGCCTCCTACAACATGACACTCAGTTCCAAGAGTCCAGAATGTTTTTATTAGGAAGGTTTACATCCGACAGGGAGGAGACACCTCAATGCGGCGGGGGCGGTGTCACCCAGATATGATTATGATCAAAACCATCCCATGCATCGCTGGCCGTCTATTTGTACACTTGTGTTCAGCAGTTTATTCTGTCATTGATGTAAAGTCTGCTGGTCAGATTAAACATGGGTGTGCGCATGTTTTCATGTAGCAAACACTTCTCTTTTATCAAGGCCTCGCTTCAATAATCACACTTAAATCAACTCAAATAACTCAAGAGAATGGGTCTCCAGGTAACACACAGGCAGCCCAACCCTGCTCTACCTCCACATGGGAGGGTTTACAATGGCTGACCCTCCCAAACTAAACAAGTGTGTCACAAATCATAACTAATCCAAACACACATGCAACCTTATAGTTTATTATTTGTCCTCAAAGGAGGAAATTCTTTTCCCCACACAGTTTATCAGTTTAATGATTTCCTGTTTAAATTCTGAGTTTGTTTCCTGTAAAGACCATCGCCACGTTGAGAGCCGTACAGAGGCAACTGATACGCTCTGAACTTTGCATTGAGTACCTTTAAAGCAGATTGTTAATACTCATTTGGCAAAAAAAGACTTATATATCCAAATATATTCTGTGTAGCACTCTGCCACTAGAGATGATATAGACATGGTTTCCATACATGATAAAATATTTGGTCCACTTCATTTATGGTTGATTCAAACACACACATATTTGTTTTGGTCAAACAGGCTGAAGTCGAGACATTTAAACATTAAATTGGACTCACAGGGTACTTGTTTCATTTAAGTGGAGAGTATTATATTGTCAATCTGTGTTATTCGTCTGTAAATTTACCAGACTTCTCAGCAACACGCGCTGGTCAAATGGACACGTTATCCGTGGTTTGCATGCTTCTCTTCATGATGGCCCAGTATTTAGATGTTATGAGGTCATATTTATTGGGATTTAAATGAGCCTTGTATTTACATTGTTGTCTACTGATGTTCATGTATTTAAAAAAAAAATAATTATCCTGTTAAAGTTTTCATTGAAACTATGAAAAGGAAAACTTCAACATTTGTCAGGGGTCTAACTAAATATGTTTGCTGAAGGGCGAGATTTGTCCCACGGGCCACGTTCTGCCATCCACTGCTCTGGGGGATCACAGTGTTGGTCAGACGGTGCTTCAACTTGGTCAGATAGGCTGCCATTAAATTATGAACTACATTCATGTTCCCCAGAGGATGAACTCTAATAACATTAATGATCTCCTGACTAGCACCACTAGCAGCAGCATCAAAATTCACTTCACTATTGTGGTATCTTGACACATATGGATTGGCATAACATTTAGTATTCATCTTGAATTTTTTTATTTCAGCCACAAGCAGATCCAAATCTTCTGTCCAGAGTGCAGTAGTGTTTTTTGTCAACTCAAATACTGTACTTTAATATTGAGGAACTTTGGCTCTATTGTTATACCCATTATACAGTATAATACTTCATACGTATTCTACTTCCCTACATTTCAGAGAAACAAATTGTACTTTTTACTCCACTACATATCCCACCTGTACAGACCAGTTACTTTGTGTATTTTTACAAACAAAGATGGACTCAATATAAAACTTCAGCATAAAATATGGTACATTGTTACAGAATAAATGAGCAAACTGTACATGAAGTTGTTCAAATTAGTTACAACTGGCTCAAATACAACAGTAGAATGATAAAGCATCAGTAATAACTAATATAATATATAATAATATAACATGGATGAATCCTCTGGGGATGATGAACCCCAAAAACCCTGGACTACATTTCCCATGATGCAACTATATTGCTTCTTATGTTTGGCCCTCTCTGACTGGCAAAAGTCAACAACTCCACATTTATAACACAGGCTATCTGCTCAAATATTGTACTCCCCAAACCTAAAATGAGATAAAGCTGATAACATAATTATGACATCATTAGGGTTAGGGTTAATCTTAATCTCTCAAACATTAAGACTTAATCTCTAAGACCTTAAGAGATCCATCTAAAAACAAGTAAATATTCACAGTAATTACCATACAATTACATAATTATTTTAGCTTATTTTAGTCCTTTTCATTTTATACAACTCAAATACACAAATGAAAACAAAAAAATTTAAAAAGTCATTATTTTTAAAGTAGTGACAAACCAAAGCAAGTCAGGTGTAGTCTAAAGCTACACTTACATTAATTATGGCGTGAGTTAATAAATAATATGTTGGGTGGTTCATAATAATCAGCTCTGGTTACAATTCTTATAGCTTTCTCCTGTAGCATAAAAAATGGATTTGTGATTGTTTTGTATTTCCCCAAACCATAACGCTTAATACTAATAATTTATGGAACTATAAAAGAACGGTACAATATATTCAATGAATTTAGATTGAGGATGATACTTTTGTTTTATGCAGTATCGCTATGGTCTAACAGAACTCCAAAAAAATGTATTTTCATGAACTCTTTCTACTTCAACATTATCTACCATGATTTTCTACTGGATTATTGGCTTTTGGCTATCAGAATATTATACATTTTGTTTTATTTAAATTGAATGAAAACTTGTTACCATCAAACCATCGTTTTCAATTCTGTTTCCACTGTATGCAAAAGCTGCTCTAACAAAACAAACCTGAGCGTTTTGGATACGCTGCAATAATAATGAATGTACAATATAGGAAGCCTCCTGAGAAATGACAGCTATGTCAGTTCCTCACTGGAGAAAGTATTAGGGATATAAAGTGTTACCTATAGGACTCTTAAGTTAAGAATGAAAATAGGAGCAAACATCAATAGATGTTAAATCAGGTCAAAGCGAAGGTCAAAGGTCAAAGTGAGCATGAATCTGTTCTACTACAAATATTGAATTAGTCAAAACGTCATCATTTATATTGTATCAGAGTTAAAGGACGCTGAAGTCACCTTTATTCCCAAAATCCATCTGTCAAAACTCCAAATCTTGTTTTTCAGTTACTCAAACTTGCTGTTCTAAGACACAGCTCAGCTGACACAGGCAGCCTGACAGCTCCACTGTTCATAGTCCAAACCTCATAAAACAATAACACCAGATCTAATGGCACTGTGGTGCAACTGAAGCAAAAGGACTAAGGACTAAGAAAAGAATAAAACTGTCGCTTTAGTTTAGCAGCCAAGAGGAGAAAAAGAGATGAAACGCAGGACGCACCAGATGAAAAGAGGTGTCTCTGGACTGTTTTGAAACCTAATACAGTCTATTACCATCCATGTGTTCCTCACTGCCCAAAATAACTGTTTCTTTTGTCAAATGTACTAAAAGGTCAAAGACATTTTTTTTGCATCTGATAATGATGCGGTGAAAAGAGAGCCGGCCTACCTGTTCAAGCCGTGGAGCTGGAAGTCAGACGGACAGGTTTCAGAAGGCGGAAGGAGAGATGCAGTGCTGCTTCAAATTTCACTAAGAGAGGTTGAAGTCCAAGACCGGAGTGTGGCTGAGGGAGGGTGTGTGTGTGTGTGTGTGTGTGTGCACGTGCTCAAGTGACATGATTAATGCACGATAAGAGAGCTGGTTAAAGGAAATAAATGAGATCTTATAAAGGAACTTATTATCAATGCTGTAATATGTTACGAGGACGAACACACCCAGTTATCAGTCATACATTCACCTCTCTGGCTTTCATTTGTCACTTGTGTTTCTTTCTTTTTCACATTCCAGTGCCTTCAGTCTTGACCTGGACTGTACGATTGTCCTTTATTTTGAAATCTCCCTTAAATTAAAGACGCCCCACAGTTCAACTGATTTACAGAAATGAAAAAAACAAAAACAAGAACAACACTGCCATATCAGCGTCTTATAAAGATCTTAGCGCATCTTAACGTGATACTGATCTGCTTTTATTGTAACAAGGTATTTCATGTTATTATGACACACAGCCGTGTCACGTTATATCAAGAAACGTTTCTTGATGTAACAATCTACTTTGGTTGTTTACTCCATGAGCTGTTAAAACACGTGTCACACTGCTCTAGGATTGGCCTTTTATGCTCCTGAGAAAAACGTCCTCTTCAGCTGCTAAAGGCTCCACTACGTCCACTGTTTGCCGCGGAGCAGGTAGAATAAACGGTAAATGGACTTGTACTTGTATAACGCTTTTCTAGTCTTCAGACCATTTTAAGCGCTTTAACACGACATGACATTCACCCATTCACACCCTTTCATACACAGATGGCAATTAGGGGTTAAGTGTCTTGCCCAAGGACACATTGACATGGACTAGCGTTGCCGGGGATCAAACCCGGCGATCCTCTGATTGTAGGATGACCCTGCACTATCACTGAGCCACAGTACTGTGGGTTTATTGCCTGATGCTGCTGCAGGAAATGGCATTGATGAATGTAAAAGATATATTATACAGAGAGTATAATGCTCCGTAGAGGTGAACTTATTGGTCACTACAAGAATACATTTGATATATTTGTTTATAGACAACATTTTGATTAGTACAGATTCAAACATGTTTTTTTTTTAAACGTTTTGTGCAAAACAACTAAAATTCCATTCTCATCCATTGTATTGAGTTGTCAGATACACTAGAGATAACAAAGAAGATAGTTTTTTAAACTATGATTTGGTAAAGAAAACTAATTTCATTTAGTAAAATAAAGTGAAGTTTACCAATAATTGGACATTGTTTATACAGACCATTGCCGTAACAATACACGCAGCACTATAGGTAGAGAAGTCATTGGAGAGGAAATGGAAAAAGAAACTACACTTTAACCCCAAACATGGATGTCAGGGCATTATCAGAGAGAGCTTCCTATTGCAACTCATGCTGGAGTGTTAGCTGCTGGTGTTGTGTAAGAGGCTTCCGGAGTAAAGATTTATAGCACAATAAAGTCAGAAAACAGAAGGTTGCCAAGACACCCAGCCAAGGACTCCAAGGACTCTGCAGTCTCTCTCTCTCTCTCTCTCTCTCTCTCTCATATATATATATATATTACCTTTTTCCAATGGCGCCTCTTGATGGTGTCCCTGGTTATCATCATCACCGCCCAGAACTGGGTGAAGGACTGCCTCAGACGCTTGTAGTACTTTCTGGAAAAAGAGAGGGGGCAGCAACACTCAAACACGGAGCGCTTCATATTTGATATTGTAACATCCACATTACAACTACAAAATGAGCCTTAAAATTACTTATTTAGGACATTATTATTTTTTTTCATTCTGTAGCTTCCCAATAGTGTTCCTTATCTATTCAAATACAAAAGTTCAAATTTTGGTGGAAGTACTTTTGTTTTAGCGTCAACATATATGCTTTTTCATAGTCACTGTATTACCTACAGTTAACACAAACAAACTAACTGATCGAGGCAAAGGTGATGTAAAATTACTATTTTTAATCAATGGAGTGTGGCTTTGAAAAGGAATAAAATCATTTGAACTGGAAAGACAAAGGTGGCGCATGTACATGCTTTTTTCCATAGACTGTATATATGAAGCGGACATAGTCATCTTGACATCACCAATTGGTTTATGGACTGCCATCATGAAGCCTTGAGTTCACCGCCATCTTGGCTTTTTTGCAACCGATGAACGAAAGTGACCATATTTGGAAAAAAATTTAAAAATCCCTGACTGGAGATACAAGGTTTTTTCCCAGTAGCAAAGCTTTGATTTCAGGACTTGCCAAACAGTATTTCCTATATTTTATTATGTAGTTTTGCCATTAAAGATGAAAGATTAAGAAAACAACACTTTATTTTGATAATCCTTTCCTCTCTGATCCTCCTCCTTCCTGTACCTGGCCTGGTGTCCTCGTATGTGGCTCTGGATGACGATGGCTTTCTGTTTGAAGAACCTGAAGTTCCTCCTGCAGAGGAAGCCTCTGATGTTCCTCTGGATGGTGATGGCAGCCCAGGTCTGGGTGCTGCTCCACTTCTCCTCTATCAGCTGGTACAGAAGCTCCTTGAGGAACAGCTAACGCAGATATACACATATATCTAAGCATGTTCATATGTACAGTAAAAAACTTTTAATCGGTGTGACGAGTGGGCAGTTTGGCACCTTGGTGAGTCCCAGCTGGTACTGTCCCTCCTCTGCACCAACCATGTCCAGCAGAGCCACCGACTGCTCTCTCTCGGACGCCTCGCTCAGACGCTGGCTCAGGAGCACCCCGTATCTGTGGAACACAACACGGCCAAGAGCTCCTAAATCCAGAATCAGATACTCTGGGACACACACTACACCAGCAATGAACATCCATCATCATAGATACTGCTAGACTCTTCGTTGGTTATGTTATTATCTCTACCAGGAGATTATGTATTCGGTTGTGTGTATGTGTGTGTTGCTTCAGTTTGGACTCTTCTTTCTCCTATGATTACTCACTGTTCCACTCTTGGTTTGCATGCCAAGGTAAATAAATTGCATGCATATATATATAATATATAATATATATACACACATATATACTGTATGTCTTTATCTTAGAACTCCTCCAGCTAACACAATGGATACAGCTAACAGAGCTATCAGCTAACAGAACCAAACACACAGCAGGACTGACACTTCTCCTAAATGTTTACCCTAATATTACCCAAATGGGCTTATGCTAGCTGGATATACAGTAAAAATTGATTATTTGTATCCATCCTAATGATGTGACTCTGAGGGAGGAATTGTCAGCTGGTTGATGAGCTGGTTAATCAGCCCATCACTAAACGACCAGACTGAAATATTTTATAAGTAGATTAAAATGCAATAATACTATATATTGTGGCCCACTGGCATTGTTTCAGGATGAGCTCAAAACTGGAGCCACAATATAAAATTCCACGTTTGCAACACAGTCTCATGACACGCAGTGCACAGTGTGACACTGGAAAATATATAGACGCAGCGATCCTGTTACCAGATGAATGTGGTTTTAATGTGGCTTATTTACGCTGACATCGTCGTCATGGCGACGTTAACCGCTGGATAGTGTTGTGTGTTGTTGTTGCCAATTTCCAGCATTAACGTTACGCCAGAGAATTTGCTATCAGCTCGTAAATCGCAGCTCCAGAATGTGTTTTGTTTTCTCTGGACCAAAATTTCTAGTATAAATGTAATTGTAAGAATATGGCTGAGTCAGAAATTATAAAAACTAAAATAATAATAAATTAGCAGTGAATTCATTTTGTGGATCAGGTCAGGTATCACTTGACTGAACAGAACATCTTTCAGCTATGCAGCCATTGATGAAAAGCAGTAGGTGCGAGAAAAGAAAGCAAGAAAAGCAAAAATGAGACACTGGTATTTCTTAAATGAGGGACAGCATAATAAACATGAAAGTACTGTGATGACGGTTGCGGTCAAGGATGCCATGTGTGTTTGAAGGACCTCTCAATGAAGTAGGAGTATTGCATCCGTATGGGGAAACCCTCTTTCCTGATGTGGATGGTCTCCAGCATCCCAGCATGCCTCAGCTGGGCCGACATGTAGTCTACGTCAAAGATCCCAGGATGCTGATGGAGGACACAAGAGAGAGAGACACAGTACAAGGTCATACATGGTCAGATGACGTTGGCATCAGTACGTAGTATCTGGTGTTACCTTGACGTAGTTTGGCTTCAGACAGCGAATATAAATGGTTTTGCATCTAAGAGTTGAAGGACAAAACATAGACACAGGTTATTCGTCAACCTTAGACCTACGACATATGCACGTAAAGAAAGGCCGAGCAGCATCTGATAGCTGTTTTATAGAAGTGAAATGTAATATTTAAGAGCACCAACAAGAGGCAATTTCAGGCTTCTGGAAGGAGTATTAACCGGTATGTGTGATTGAAATGTACCCATGAAACGTCCTGATTTGAGCCGTTCTGTCCTGTATGGTGTGAGGTCTAGAATTTATGATTCACACCAAACGAAAACATTATAGACCAGCTATCATACTCATTCTCATATTTCTTTCCATGGCATTCACTAAACCCCACGTTCTCCGCAAACCACAGCTATTTGATTTTAAACACATGCGGTGCAACTGTATCCGTTCACCCAGCTGGCTTTTAACAGCGATTTTAACAGCGATGCTTTGGTAATGACAGCTCAGTACAGTCAGTGTGTTGGTACCTCTCCAGGCGGGTGGTGAGCTCCGTCAGGGACTGAAGGAAGTGTGAGGCGGCGGTAGAGGGCTGCTGGCGGAGGCCCTTCCCTCTCCAGCCCAGCTCTCTCTGCTGAATATAAGCGTCCTGAACCTTCCGGAACAGCTCTGACACCATCTGACAAACGTGCAAAATCACAGGTGAACTGTCAAAATGAAGTATGTTTTAATTAAAAGCCTGCGAGTATGTTTTTGGAGCAACTGTTGTGTTTTATGTTGATATACAATAGCTGTAAACTGATCACCTTTATATTCAGTACTGCCTCTAAAGGTGTACTAATCATTCTGACTACTAGTAATGTACCCTAACGAAACATTTACACTTTTACATTTCATTGTCTTGTGCTTGGTAATTGTTTTTATTGTATTCATGTTCATTATGACTTTTTTCATATCAAAATTCCAAGATACATTTGTCAGTCTTCCCGATCTTGCGAATTTGAGACGTTAAGTCATAATAACAATATACAATAGTTACCATATAACGTCATACATTTTTTATTCTTAGGTGAATGCAATGCATTTCTGTATGAGAGAGCTCAGCACACTGGAACTTAAAGGTGTAATGTGTAGTCATATTGTCGGTTGCTGAGGGGCCATTAGAAAGAATGCAAGTTCAAGGCACTTCCGCATTGGCTTCACTTTTCAGACTTGGATGTGGCCCCTTCATTAATACACAAACCTGTGTAATCCGATTACATGTTGTGATTAAAATATCTTGTTAGAACCAATTCAGGCAAAGGGCTTCACCTTTAAGCGACTTCTGGCAAAAAGCTCTACCACTTCTGTCCGGAACTGGTCATGGTTCTTATTCAGGAAATTATGTACCTGGAAAAAGATTTTAAAAAGAAAGTTTTAATACAAATGTTCCTGCAGCACTGGCTGTTGTTTGACAGATCTGCTGTATATAGCATATAGCTGTATATAGAGCCTGATACCTGATAAGTGACAGCTCCGGCATAGTGATAGACAGTGAAGACTGGCAGTGGGTTCTTGGGCTTGGCATAGTAGGGGCTGTTCCCATGGTGGTAGTGGCATTTCTGGAGGAAGGTGTGGTCAGTGGCCTGATGAAAAAATAACGAGGAACAATACCAAAAACATATACGTTTACTTTTCAATATTTCGTACTCCCTCAAGATCAGATGTAGAAGGAAATGGAAACATTTCGTCTTAAAACTGTGTGTGTGTTTGTGTGTACCTGGGGGAGGCAGGTCTGATCGTCCAGTATGCGGAGGATGCCGTGTGGTCTGGAGGAGATCAGCTCCAGACAGGAGTGGAAGTTCTTGAGTGGCATCGGATACCACTGGATCTGTTCTGTACTGTACTCCTCCTGCAGGCAACACACACGGCAACATTGCAGACTGCACTTAGTTTAAGCGTGTGAATATAGGGAAGTTCTCGGTTCTACTTGCCAGATTTCCTCTTGGGTGATGAAAACACAGACAAGCACTTTTCACCTCTGCCTTTAGTCTTTGTGCAAATGAGCCTATTTACCAAAAGATTACTTTTGCAAATCTTTTCAGGAAGTCAACTCGGAGAAGTCTTTCTAGCTAGCTAACTAGCTAAAAACACAACACTGAGTGTCTGGAGGAGGATGCTGTCAAAGGGACTTCTCACAACCTGGCAACCCAAATGCTGTTCTTAACAGCTTATAAGTGATCTATAGGGCATTAGTAAATTACTCTTCAACTATTGATGAAGGCATCCATTCACAGCTTAACCCTTTTTGTAGGGTGACTTAAGGGGTCAGTTGATCTTTAGGGATCTAGTATACAGCCCACTGACCTGCTCCTGGGAGATTACTGCCTTATTGACAAAATGCTGCAGCTGCTCATTGGCAAAGTTGATACACAGCTGCTCAAAGCTGTTCACTCCCAGGTCCTGCAGAGGAACACAGGACGTCACATCTACCACCACAAGAAGATGCTCAGTTTCTTTTGAGTTCCCAGATCTCGGTCCAGGCAGATTACTAACCTCAAAGCCGTAGATGTCGACTATGCCCACAGTGCTGTCCATCTCTGTGGGGCTCAGCCAGTCATTGGTCTGCTCCAACAACCAGTCAAACAGCACTGAATACAAGGCTTTGGCAATGGCATCTCTGCAAGAGACGACAAGGATGAGGGGTGGGGGGTAAGGACAATGCAAATGATTAACAGAAAAAAAAAACATAACAAAATGGGGGGAATGGAGTTGGAAATAGGCGGGGTGTCAACACTGTACATATTCTACTTTCACACACAATAATATTCCATTCCACGTGGGTTGGCTAAATGATTAAAAAAATAATTAATACATAATACTATTGCAATTAAACTTTCACATGAGCCAAATTATCTTTTGCACTGAAATAATTAAAGCTACAATAAGAAACTTTCATTTGGTGTTGATTTTTGAGGTCCCTGTGGACAAAAGCGAGCACCAGTGTCCCTTTAGAAAACCTCTCATGTTACTGCAGCAGGGTCTGACAGTCTGCCCCTCTCAGTCTTGATTCTGGTTCTCCCGTGCCTCCCTTCCCTCCAGTGCAGTCTAGCAATGCAGCCTGGGTCTCTGGCTGATGATGTTGGCTGCCAGCAGGGACCCTACAAAAAAAGTAGTGTCTCTACTTGTTTCTTTATCAATAAGCTGTGCAGTTTGGATATAATGAATGTCTTTCTTAATATTCAACATGCTCCCTGGGAAAGCTTGAACCAAGGTGACGGACAGGAGATTCCTGACAATTGTTGACATGTGGATTCTGTCCTGGAAAGTGGACCAGCTCTTCGCTCTTGCGAGGACACTGGAAGTTTTGTATTTGCTTTGCACTCGGCAGAACCGGAGGTTGCCGCCTGACCCCGACCAGGCCCCGGATAAGTGGCAGAAAATGGATGGACGGATCAATAGATGGAAGGGATTCTTTTAGTTTTGGTTTGAGAGACTTGTCTGCTATCTGTGCTTACACTCAGTCCGCATGTTCCTACCTGTATTCTATGGCACTTTCCACAGACAGAGGGCAGTATATCCTGTCGTAGGTTGTCTCCTATGGACGAGAACGCTAATCAGTGTGCACACGTGCAGACATGTGTACAATAACTCAGCAAGAGGCACGGGCGGTGCGTGAACGGCTACTAACCGTGACTCTGTGAGTGATGACGGTCTGCAGAGCCTCGGAGGAAATCTGCAGCAAGGAGCCGACCCTCCTGGCCTCGGCCTCGCTGAAGATACGTGCCACCTCAAACGACTCGCTCTGAAGCAAAAAGCAGCGACTAATGTGTGATACCGATGTCTGATCTGTGTACCGCTCACTCACTCTCCTGCACACACACACACACCTCGTATGAGCTGAAGCAGATGTTGCCGAGCTGCAGGATGGAGGAGAGGATGGCCCAGACCGTGGAGATCTGGTCAGCATGCAGACCGATGGTCTCAAAGCACTGAACCAATAACTGGAAGTCCTGCTTGTCCTGCTTAAACTTCAGGTCACAGGCACCACCCTAGAGGCGGACAGAGAAAATGTCAAACATGTAACATGTATAGTGAGTGAAGAGGAAGAAAGAAAAAAAACTGAGTTGGAGAATAGTTGGGTGTTCATTGATGTGTGATGTACTTGGTTTAGGTAGTAATAGGTCTCGGCTCCTTGCAGGTAGAGCTCCTCTTTGTCCCAGTCATTCATACCTGCCAGCAGCTCATAGAACACATGGTAGTTCCTCTCCTCATTGGCCTACAAGGGACATGAGGAAAGAACCAGCAAGTGACACACAAGTGAATCACTCACAGCACGACCAACAGTGTAATGAAACACACTACAACGGACAAATCAGGTGGCTGTATCAACCACTTGGTTAAACTCCACGCCAGTGGGAAAAATTATGTGGAAATTAATATCAAATCAACAACATGTTATCATGCTCATAATGACAACGAGACACCAGGCAAAAACATCATTTTTTTTCATGCACTGATCAATTTTACGATTTTTTTTCCATAACATGTCTCCTTTCAGACCAGTGGAAAGAAAACCCATTCAAGTGTTTATCTTATACTTTACACTTTGTCTATTTGCATCTGTAGATTTCTCCTAAATTCACTTAAGGTTCAGATTAGATAATTCCTCATTTGCATACTTAAACGTATCATTTCAGAGAACTTGTAATACAAATAAATAATAGATATGACATTAAAAACTTCCCTAGTAATCAACTGGGTAAGTTTTTATGGTGATATCTATTAGTTAATTTATTTACCCTATTTTCTTCAAAATGTATGTAATTTTACAAAACTCATATTTAAAGGCGGTTTTCTCTAAATTTGTTTTTTTCTCAGACTCTGAGCCAGAAATCTCCTTATTTTTACAGAAGGGTTTGTTATATATCATTCAGAGCCTGATTTATACAACATTTTATTTCTAAAATGGTGGCAAATATGGATTTTTAATGGCTGTTGACATTGTTTTCCGATTTATGGAGTGAAAAAAATAGATATCCAAAACTCCCTCTGTAAAAACTTTGACTCTAATATGTCAACAAAATAAAACAAGAATTTTGAACACTGCTTCATTCAATGTTCATTCCTGTTCTGGAAATGTATGCAAATTAGTTTATATTTAATAAAGATAATGCCTTGTTTGTTTTTTAAACACAACATTTGATATTTCGCATCTAATGTATACTATGGGCACCATCTGAGTAAAATGCATTAGCATGTCTCAGGAATGTCTTTAGTTGATGGTGATGCTAATGATGGTGCTAGAGAAGAAGTCAGTGGATCATTAAAGTTATTACAATTCATCATGTGGGGATCATGGATGTCTCAACCACATTTTATGGCAATCCATCCTGTATTTGTCAAGACATTTCATTAAGAACCCCCCAAAAAATTGCGAGCTAACTTAGCCTCTTGAATCCGAGCGCCCTACGGGTTTAACATGTAGCGACATATTCATCCTGCATACCCACAGAAGGGCAAGAAGCTTAAAAGCTCATAATAACCATTTTTACCTTAGCGAAACACAATTCCAACACCAAGTACCTTAATGAGCACACAGCAAACACACAATAACGGTGTATGTGGGCATTGTGGTGCTAGTGTGCATTGTAGTGCTAGTGAGCACTGTGGTGCTAGAGATTTCATGCTACCCGCACAAAAGATATTTCATTAAGAAAGCTGAAGCTTAACGCATTCCAACAATAATGCTATAAGTCTTATTGCTCTACGACCAAAACTTACTGAACCAACAGCTGAAGAAGAAAAAATAAAGTTCACTTTAACCATAAATGATCTCTTTCCTTTGCCGTTTTAAAAGTGATTTAAAGTTGTGTTTGAGGGCATATCAACACTGCTAATGGCTACTCAATGTCTCTAAATGATCTTTGAGTCGATTCCAGACGTTTATATTCATTTGCATCTAACAGTTTAACCTCAGAATTCTATGTGAATACAGGGTCTATGTCTCCATCTGGAGGATGCACTCAACCTAAAGACATTGGCCTTCAATACAGGCATAAAGAGTCCACATAGACCAGGGGTCAGCAACCTTTTCTATCCAAAGAGCCATTTTGCCGTATTTTTCACCAAATAAAATTCGTCTGGAGCCATCTATCCATCCATCCATCCATCCATTTTCCACTGCTTATCCGGGGTCGGGTCACGGTGGCGCAAAAGCTAATTGATATCACAGCTTATAAAGTTGTATATATATCGTAGTTATATTATATATACATTTTTTTTGCAATTTTTACCTGATATAACAATATCAAACTCTTATGAAGAGGAGAGTTTGCTGCAACAGTTGAGGAATCGCTCTTTCTCGCTCATCTTCAGCGTGACACTTTTCAGCAAATGCTGTGTGTTTGTTCTGGAAGCATACAGGTAAAGTCAGCATCGTTGGCAGTGAAAGCAAATGAAGACGTCCACGCAGAGTTAAACTCTCTATTTTCCTCCGTGACTTTTCTTTTTTTGGATTTATCCATTGATAGTTTACCGAGGGCGGGGGTCTGAAAATCAGGATCAGCCGTTCGCAGGGAAAAGCGCTTGACAGAGGTAGAGGATTTAACTGCCTGTGGGAATAATTAGCATATAAGATTCTGTTCATTCTTGCTCATAAATTATATTCTCTCTGAACACGTTTCTCTTTTTGGAGAGAGTCATGTGAGATAACTTCTTCGATTAGTGCAATTTCCTGCTCTTCTTTCTATTTCCTCGTATCCCCGTGTGTCACGGTGTGTGTAAACCTCGCTCGAGTCAGGAAACTTGTCAGAATACCCATATTTGATTGGCTGAGCTGCATCACGTGATGTGATTTGCAATGCATTGGTCGGTGTGTTTCCTGCACCACCGAACAAGTGCCGTAACGGCTGAATAAGACGCGCCGGTTAAAATTTAAACTCGGTGCCCAATATGTATAATTCCGAATTATCTATCGGTTTTTAGTCATGGGTCCGGATCCGGTGCGCCAGTTGGGGACCTCAGGGAGCCGCAACAGAGAGGCTAAAGAGCCGCATGCAGCTCGCGAGCCGCAGGTTGCCGACCCATGACATAGATCAATGGGTTATGTTTTCTGGAATGGAAACATGTATAGACATTTTCAGTTTTGTTTGGCGTGTGCACTGTGTTCCAGTTTCAGTTACTCTGACCCAGTAACATATATATGGATGCTCAAGTGGGCATGTCATTTTCAAGCAGGGGCCTCAGCCAGAAGCATAGGGTAGAGGCTAAAAAACCGAAGGTTCACCAATGCCATTAAGATTTATCCTCTGGGAACCATGAATGACTGAGCCGAAGTGTGTCTCAATCCATGCAGTAGATGCTGAGATATTTTATCAGATAATTTGAAACTTTGACCTGTTGGTGGTGCTAGGTGGAAAGTAAGGGTATCATGGTTACCAGGTTAACTTGTATTCATTCTCTGGGGACCTTGAATATCTGTACCAAATGTCATGGTAATCGCTCAAACAGTTGTTGAGTTGCCTCATTCAAAACCCAAAAAGCCAGAGATATTTCACTAGATAATTGAAAACTTTGACCTGCTGGTAGCGCCAGAGGAAAGGTCAATGGATCACTAAAGTAATTGTAATTTCAACTCTGGGGATCATGATTATCTGTACAAAATTTTCAAGGCAATCCCTTTGACATTCGCCAATATTTAATTCTGAAGTGGTGGACAGGCAACCAACATTCTTATCCCTAGAGCCCTGCCACTAGCAAGGCTAAAAACCGAAGATTGAAAAGCTATTTGATCATTTGTATTCTGTAGATGAAGGTATCTTCTATCAAGGTGCGAAAGCTGAGCCTTCACACTGTTTATTTTCCAAAGACGCAAAAGCACTCAAAAGGAACTTGAGACTTTTTCCTACAAGCCAGCCAAATGTGATATATTAGACAAATAGCTGATCACACAATCATTTACACAGTGACAGCAGCCCTATTCACACTGTGGGTGCCAAAGTCAACGTGATGTGTTGTCTTTTTCACAAATGTGTCTAAAAATCAGTTTGAACCTGATGAAATGTGCTTCTCCAGTAAAGTTAACGTCTGTTTGAGTACACAGCACACTCACTCAATGTCCTCACCTGAAAGACAACCCTGGACTTCTCAAGGAGATATTTGGACAACGAGGTCCCTACAACAACCCCGCTGTTAACCAAGATGAGAGACAGTTGACAAGTAAAACTACTGCAACCAATCTCGTCAGGAACATATGGTGCAACATCAAAAGATATGGACATCGGGTGGACTCACTGGAGGATGTGGATGTGGAGGAACTTGCCAAAGCGGCTGGAGTTATTGTTGAGGATGGTCTTGGCATTCCCGAAACTCTCCAGGATGGGAAAGACCTCCATGGGCTGAAAGAGAAAGGAAGTGAGGCAATAAGACAATAAGGAGTGGAGGACTGAAGGGTACACCCGCCAACCCTTTGCAGTGTTGCCTGCTGATCAAACCTTTATTTAAAATTACCTGTCGTAGGTTGCCGTTTCTGCCCTGATACATAGAGCTCAGGTAGTGGACTATTAGCTTGGTAGCCTCAGTCTTCCCTGATCCACTCTGGCCACTACATGAGAAATAAAAATGACCTGAAATATGACACATCTTAGAATTGAGATGGCATGAAACAAAGGCCCCTTTCTCCATGCGAACCAGGGACGCTGCAGCTCATGGTTGGGCCTTAACCACTTGGCCACAGGGCCAACCGATGACATGAGCCAAGCGTGGCCAGCTACATTGTTGAGCGAATTGAGGTTGAAGTGTTGCTCAAGTGATTGTTGATGTAGTTATGTTGTGTTATGGTCTGGCTCTAGAACCAGAGCAAATGTCACGAAAACTCAGGCAAGGAGCTAACCAAACAAATACTTTTAATAACAAAAGGCCAGGACATTTCAAATTGCAACACAAATGGGCATTCTCGTAGAATGCCAGAAAGTTCAAGTGCTGCTGCCAAACACTCCTTGCGGCACACCAGGTGTGTCAGAGGGGAAGAAGCCAGCCCTTCCTCTGGATGGGGCGGGTCTTATATGGTGAAGGCAGTGGCCAGCTGCCTCCAATCTTCTTGATGTGACTCTCCAACGATCCAGGGACACTGAAAGACATACAATCCCTGGCAGAGGCCCTGGGCCATCACAGTTGATAATTGCACTGGGAACCTGCTAAAGACTTTTTTCTTTGTTAGATGGAACCGGGTGAAAAAAACCCACAAGATTGGTTGATGCACGGTGGTGTAGTGGCTAGCACTATCGCCTCAGAGTTGCTCGGGTTTGATCAGCGAGCTGGGTGGCCCTTCAGTGTGGAGTTTGGATTGGATAAGCAGCCTTATAATTTAAAATATGTATCCTATTGGATTATAGATGATGGAAAAGAGCAGGACTTTTGTTTAAAATCTGAGGCTGGAAAGATTAAACATGAAGATATTGGGGTTCTTGTCAGTACCTTATGATGATGCACTGCTCCTGTGTGGAGGCTTGAGACTGACTGAAAGCGGCGTCGGCTATGGCGTACACATGGCTGAAGCAGAGAACAACAGAAAGTCAAACATTAGTAATAGAAAAACGTAAGGTGGACAGATGCTCTGAAGGAACTGAAACCTTTGGTGAGATGCATGCTGCCAGTTGTTATTGAAAGTATAATAAGAGAAAGCTGAATAATACAGAAGCCAAGAACAGCCTGTGCTTGGCAATTATCTTTTTTAATACTGTTATTTTGAGATCACAAGTTAATTATTTCGTTATTTCTAGAAAACAATCTTTTATTGTTGCCTCTTATTTCTTATGCGTATGTCCAAGCCCCTATGGTGCTGATTATCCTCCACATCCTACGATGAATACTTGGACTACTTACGTATATATCGCTATCTCCAGAATTTCTTTTTTTCTCACGGATCAACATAAATTAACACTTTAACGTAAGAAGATGAGCTATGTTATCCGTGATAAGGAAATAATGAACTCGGGATCTCGGGATAACGGCATCAAATAAACAAAATGCAAACAGGGCTGCTCTGTGTGAGAATAGTTTGCTCACGGTGGGTTTCTATGCTGCTCTGTGCCCTGGTATTTCTGCCTCAGCTCCTCCGTGTAGATGTTAAGGGGTTTGAAGGGGTTAATGGACAGCAGCATGTTTCCAATGTAAGTCTGGGGAAAAAATAAAATGACAGGCATTCACTGAATGAAAAATTATTGGGGGGGGAAATAAGTCTGAAAATCTCATTTAGCTAAGACAACAGATATTGCTACATGTCTGCCACATTGATAGCAGTTGAGTTGTGGTAGTGCATTATTATTTATCTGTGCTTTGATTGTTGTTGTTTTTATCTATCAAGATGTTCACCACCATTTAGAATTAAAGTATTCAAAGTCTAACTTTGACTTAAAAACCTCAAGGTGGCCCGTCCTAGTTTTTCTGGAGCTTTCAACCAAATCTCACGGTCTTCCTCGGTGGATGGATCTTTGCGCAATTTATACATTTTTTGCTCACTTAGGTTGTTTCCAAAACTTCTTTCAACAGAAATTTCCAGTTGCAGCATGGGGACTATGTCACCCAAATGAAATGAATGAACATCTTACCTGCTTTAAAAAAGGCTTCAGATCATAGTGTGAGATCAGGAATGAAGCTTACATAAATACAGTCACGGTGGAACCTCTTCTTCAGATTCAGCAGCACAGAGCTCTCGCACACCTCTCTGAGAACAGTAGACAAACAGGTTGAAAAAGTGTGTATATACTGTAAGTACTGTGTGTGTGTGTGTGTGAGAGAGAGAGATAGAGAGAGAGAGAAAACTCACTCCAGCTGGGAGAGATCCTCCACCTCATCCACCTCTATGGTTCTTTTGCAGCCAGGCATCACCACCTGAAAGAAGGCAGAGACATGAGCAGCTATGAGGACATAAGTTGACATCAAATCCCCACCAGTCTACATTTGAAGCATCCCTTCAGTCAGGTCCATCAACTTCAGACATCTCTGCCCTTACCTTCTCTCCACAGCCATCTACTAGTCTGGCTAACATTGAATTAAAAGATTTTTTAAATAAGCAAATGAGTCTTCGCCAGAGCCCTTTATGGTTTAAGATGTGTTTTGTTTCTGCACTTCCCCGCTACTAATGGTCCACTCCACCCATAACCTTTCCACAGCGGGTAACCAATCCACTTGCAGCGGTGGAGCAGTGTGATAGCTGATATACCGCAATCTCATAGCGGGTGTGTTGTATGCTCTATTGTATCTGCACAGAACAGGAAATAAATAAAACAGCAGTAAGTCTTTTATGCCCTATTGTCTTGTGTGCACACCGACTATAAGTGATGAAGTAGACCTGATATGCTGACACTCCAACCCTTATACGTTCTTAGACATTAGACAGCAATAGTGTAACTTTTCTGAATTGGAGGTAATGTTTGTTACTTTGGTTTACAGGAAAATACATCTTGACAAAGTAGATTGAGACGTTAGTATACTGAGGTTCACCACTGCAAGAATGTTGTAACAACATAGAGAATGTATCTGCAGTCTTTCCCTGCTAATTGCAGGGCCAAAGCATAGGGACATGTGTCATTCAATTGGTCAGTCAGATAGTCATTCTGTTATCTGGACAAGTATGGGTGGACCCATATAGTCCACCCACACAGGTATGTTCTTGTAGCTGACCTCATCAAACCTCATCTGAGGACTTTGTGGGCAAATGAACACTGTGATTGATTGTTTTTATTGCACCTGTTGCTGTTACACCTTTGTGAATGTTACTGGTTAATGAAGGCCAAATACATGACAATAGATGGCAATACTTTTTTGTTTTAAAAGCCTTGTTAGGAAATCAAGAGATTCTGTCCACTTAAACCCTAGAGGGCAAACAGGAGCAGATCATAAAACAAGGAGGTCTCATACTGAGATATGACCAAATACACTTATCAAACTGAGGGAATTAAAAATATAAGCCTACTTTAAAAACCTGCTGGTACACTCTGCAGTTAAGGTACTTTAAGTATTTAAAGAAAAGTATATAGTAAACAGTTTGAGTATTTATGGCTTATTAGAAACACCTAATTTATAAAAAACAGTGGAAACACAAAAAGAAGTGCCACCTAGCACCAAAGTCTCACAAGGATATTTGTTCAAGCTCAAGCTATTGTAAACAAGTCTATTTGTCTTTGCTTCAATTTACTACAACTAAATTAAAGCTTGAAGGATGTTGTCAGAGCAAACGCAGAGTGAGATTTAGAGGTGGCGATTGAATGGAAACAAGTGAACGCGAACAGATGCAAATTCGCAGAAAGTTGCGCGAACTGAAGGCAAAGACATGTCTGCTTGAGTCATAATTGTTTCAGTTTAAGCCAAAGATTTTAATAATGGAATAATTCAAGGCCAAATTACTCCAATTTCTGAAAGTTGAGAGCTAAAAGTAGAAGGATATGGAGGGCAATAACAGAGAGTTCAAGAATTCCCAGTTAGGTTCTAAGGTCAGTCAGAGTCTGAGCAATGCATGTATTGCTAGCCAGCTACAGATTATGTATTTAATAAACCTAGAATGAAATTTGCTCTGTGTTAAATCTGAATGCACACAAAGAATAGCTAAATTGTGAGTATGATGTTTCTTCTACCCTCAATGACAAGGGCGCTAATAGGACTTCGTCATAATGCAGTATCATTACCTGTGTGCTGACCAGTCGACTCTCCAGCATCTCCTGGGTGGGGTCTTCTGATTCCCAGGGGCCCCTGCCATTGTGGGCAGGAATGGTCCTGGCCTGGCCCCCATCATCATAGACTGTCCACTTGGTTAGCTTCTCCACTGTCTGGTGGGGCAACAGGTTCTCTGCACGCAGCCAGTCCTAATCCCACACACAGCAAAGACAGATGATTGAGATCATTGGATCACACTGATTCAACTACATTTTGTCACGCTCCACCTATTGTTATTTCTCTACCATTTCTTTAAGTGACAGAGTGCAGTTTCGGACTAACTTAATGAAAAGTCTACCGTCAAAAATGTAACACATACCTGAGGGTCTCCACTCATCCGTGGGTTACCAGCCCAGTGCACCTCTGGTTGGGGGATCGTATATATCCCCCCCTCACCCATCAGCTGGGCTACTTCCCTGTCTGCCTCTTCTTCATACAAGGACCGGACACCTGACATCACAGCACTTGCCTCCCCATTTGGGAAGGGCTGAGTGGTGGACTTGGGTATCCCAGTTGCAGCCTCTCTCTCTGGGTCTGGTCCCTTGGTTCGAGTCACCCCACCACTTATTGTTTTCCCCAACAAGGACATCTTGGTCAGGTTGATCTGGGAGGGGTTAAATTTCCCTCTTGCAGCCTGCAGCACACTGACTCCATCTTGATTGTCGAGGGCAGCTCTCCTCTTTCTCTCCTCAATGCTGGACGATCCCTCCGGTGGACCACTGGACTCAGGGCTCCTCTCTGCCACGTCTGCACCTAATGTTAACCCCCCTGGCAAGGACTTCTTGATGGACTTCAGGAGGCTGAGATCTGGTTTGATGGGGAGCACAAGCCTGGCACCTGGTTTAGGGGTTTTTGGCTGTGATGTGGTGAGTTCTCCTGTTGGTCCAGTGGTACTTGATGGAGTAGAAGGTCCAGGAGCTGCCTGGGGAACCTTGGCCATCTTTGCCTTGCCCAGTTTGTTCATCCTGGGGAGTACCACAGCGTATTTGGACTCTACTTCTTTCTCCCCAGCTGGGCCCGCTTCCTCCCCTCCCTCCCCCATCTTTCCCTGAAGGCTGGCATTCTCTTGAACCATTTTGTCCGCAGAGGGGCCCCTATTTTTCTTACTTGTAAGGCTGGTTTTACTGGCCAATCTCATAGCCATCCTATGTTTGAGGATATTACCCTTAGATTTTCTGAGGCCTTGCTTCTGCTGTATCTTCCGGAAGGATAGCCAGTGGGATACCCCAATGGCTTTAGTCCAGGCAGAAAGCTTCTTTCTCATGTTCAACCCATGCGGCATGTTTTTCTGAATCCAACCAGTCATACCTTTTCTCCGTGCAATCAAATGTTCCTTGGGTTTGCTGGACCCCCCATCAATGGCCTCGCTCTCTGATGTTTCCTCGTCAGGCTTCGCTAACACCTTATTTGCTTTCTGCCGGAGCGATGCCATCTTGACCTTCCCCAACAGCAACCTCTGTGGCCGCACTTTGACGACACTTCCAGCGTCCTGCTGCTCCTCAGGCTCCAGAATGGCTTTGAGGTCTTTACCTTTGGCTTTGAGAAGCATAATTCGGTTTTGGCCTTTGATGGCTTTGGTCAACGTTGGTTCAGCCTCCTCCTCTTCGACATCTGGATCAGCTTCTACAGGATCATCTTTCTCATTGATGTTTTTTGTTTGGGTCTTGCCTTTTACTGTGTCAACCTTTTTAATAGAAAGATCTTTTGGTGGTTGAATCTCCTCTGTTGCAGAACTGGATTTGTCCTCTTTTTGTATTTTTTTTCTGTTCTTCTTTTCTTCCTTGGCTTTTTGTTTGGCTTCCTTTTCTAACCTCTGCTTCTCTGCTTTGGCTTTCTGTTTCTCTGCCTTCTCCGCCTGCTTATCTGCCTTTGTTTTTTTAAACATCTTGTATTTCCGTCCTTGTCTAGGCTCCGAGGCACGTGGAGTCTGTCTGCGTCTTCTGCAGGCTTTATCAGCCGTTGGCTTTTCAAAAGTGTCCTGGGATATCACCTCGTCTTCACTCACATCACTGCTGACTGCCTTCTCGTTTACCTCTTCCTCTTCACTGGACGTGACTGCTTCACTTCTAGATTTGGCTTCCTCTGAAAGCTCCTTGTCCGAGTCCTCGTTTGCCGTCTGTTCTGTTTCTGATGCCTCAGCCTCTTCCTCCTCACTGCTCTCCTCACTCCCATGTGTCTCAGATGGCTCTTTGTTACTTCCCCGCTCCTCCTCTTTCTCATCATTGCTAGTTTCCTCGTACGACACCTCCGCTGAGCTTCCTGTGTCGCTCTCTGATTCCTCCTCCTCAGTGTCCGTCACTTTGTCCCTTCTCTTGTTTTTAGGCTCGGTGGGGAGCTTCTTGTTGATCCTCCCACGCACGGTTGGGACTGCTTTTGGTGGAGACTTGAGTTTGGTGGTCTTGCTTTTGCCCATCTTACTATTTTTGTCATGTTGAGGTTGTGTTCTACGATTTACAGTTGTTCTGTTTCCTAGTGTGCTCCCCACTTGTTTCTGCGATTCTTTTGGTTCTGTACCTCTCTTTTTACTTTGATTTACTTTATTCTGAATATTGCTCTTTCCTTCATCCATCTTTCTGTCCTCCAGAGTTGGTGAACCCACACTTCTTTTTTGTCTCCCATTAGGCACTTTGGTGGGAGGCTGAGATGCATTCTGTCTCACATTTTTCTGTTGATTTCCACCTTGTGACTTGACCGGTGACATGCTATCGATTCTTCTGTGATGAAATAACCTAAGAAAAACGTTTAAATTGTCTTTATTTTGTTTTATTTCTTATTATTTATTGTACATTGATGGACAAGTTAGCCATAAAATGAACAATTGCAGGCTGTAAGTTGAGTAACATGTCTGTCAAACTCAGTGAAACCAGGTCCTTGTCTAAAGACACTTAGGACAGACCCAGTTTAGCCATCACTGACCTGATTTGCTATCTGTTGTTAAGTTTGATGGCAGCAATGCATCTCCAACAAGACAAACAACACAAAAGTGGCTATGACTCTTTTTCTACACTGGAGGACAATGACTCTCCTTTTCCTTTTGTGACAGCAAACAACAGTTATTATCTGCAGGTTAAATCTAAACGGCAGTGAAAGGCTATCTTTAGATCTGCCTAAATGTAGTTGTATAGCCTGTACGCCCTGGGGGGTTAAGCAGTGAGAGTTCATTTCAGTGTAATATAGCTTACCAAGCTTCTCAGGTGAAACCCAGGCATGGCTGGGGGGCTGCAAAGTGCTCCGGCGTGTCCTCAAGAGCTGGTGTCACTGATACAAACGTGCACCAATGCTCAATGAGGAGAACTGAAGGGAAGTTTCACACCAATATCCCACCCTCCAACATTATACAGGAAGGCACGGAGCCAATTATGCAATACACACCCACCCAAAGTTTGCGTGTGTTTTATGCATGCACACAATGCCCCCGTCGACAAAAGAGGAGCTGGCGTGCACAGTCACAGGCGCGCTCACACAAACACAAGTTGCCTTCTGAATAATACAGCTCTACCCGTCAGGTCACACAGCTCTGCTGCCGTTCATTTGGCCAGCTGGTGAATGCTTGGGAGGAAAGGTGAGAGGTGCTGCTTGGAGTGATCAACAATAGGTGCCGATGGAGGAGCGAGGGAGAAAAAGACAGAGGGGAGAGAGAGAAGGGGCTCATTACCTGGCCTTTTCCTCTGGGAGAGGGAGATTCCATCACTGTGTGCCGGAATTCTGGACAGGCATCAATTTTAGTTTGGCAATATCTCAAAGAAAGTAACACATTATGATGTCCTAGCAAAACATGACTATGAGGTGTAAGTGCTGACTTTCACTTTACTTTGACAATTTTCTTTTCTTTTTTATATGTCTTTGTATTATAAAAATATAAATAAATTACAATATTTTACATTTTATTATTAACCACTACCCCCTTACCCATAACCCCTGGTCAGCAATGTGCAGTATTCACAGTGTTTCAAGAATATGGTCACCATCATAAATGATTGACCAGAGCTAATACAGTAAAGGTTAGATAGATAGACAAATGTCAGTGAAACTATTTGATCTGGGGAATCTCTGAAACAGGAGAAGGTTACCAGAGGGAATCATAACAGATTAATTTCAGGTTTTAAGGGGGAGATGGTGATTAGAAAAGGTATTCCCCAATTCCTGCACCCAATGTAACTGTTCTCCATAGGAGGACCCCTCTTCTAATTCTGAAGGATAATAATAAAGAATCCAGAGCACATCTCTCTGCCTCCACACGGTTCTCGACATTGATCCAGCTGAGTTGGCCGCTGGAAGCTAGCGGTGCTAAAAGCGCTAACAGTGCAAACAACGGCAACAGTGCTGACAGGGCTAACAGTGTTTACCTGAGGGGGAACCGGAGGGTGGGCACTACTCTTCTACAACAACATTGTGCGTCGGGACATCGTTATCAGCTGTAACCAACATAGGAGCGCAGTGCAGAGTGGCTGCAGTTAGCAAGTCAGTAGAGCACAGCAGAGAGAGTAACGTTCACTATTATGCATGCGAACCCGGACCGGCTACGTAAACAAAGCACAGAGAAATACAGATTACAACACACAGAGGGAGAGTGACTTCATTCCCTGCTAAGGTAGACGTCACCATATCTTTACATTGGAAAGGAATTTTTCCTGCTATATTAATGCTCTGAATCCCGTATATAGTAAATATTTATTAAGTATTTTGTTGGCATGTGATGTTGGTTAAATCATCTACAGTTAAAACCTGGGTTTGGTTGAACACCTTCTACATGTCTACTGTAGGTTAGAACTGTTGTTGTAGCTGCTGATTGGAGTTATATGCAACGTACTCGTCTAAAAGAAGTCCCTCGTCAACCAAACTTTGTGTGGTTTTAAGTTAGACATCTGATGTCACCAATTGCAGCAGCAGTAGTAGAATAGTGGTCAGGGTTTCATCATGCAGCAGGACAAGCATCCTAAAGGTAGAACCAAGGCTACAAAGAACTTTTCCAAACAGAAGACCAGACTGAAGGCAAATGGCTATTTAATGCCAAAAGTGACTTCATTTGTAGTACAGGCCTGGCTGAGCATCGTCAGGGAAATACCAAGCGTCCGCTAACGTCTGTGAGCCCCAGGGAGGAGGCTCTGATGGATGTTAAGCTAACCCAGCTAGGACCTAAGGATACTCCAGTCACCAGCCTACTCATGGCTGTCTGATGTCCGGTCACAGAAAAATAAGATGGATGATGCTTGGTGCTCAAACACAGTCAGAGTTGATGGACAATGTTTTCCTGATGTCAAATTTTAAATGTTAAGATATTGGCCATATTAGCTGACCAGAGAATTGTTGTGGCGGTTTACATTCCTTATGATACAAATTCAAGAAATGCACTACAATAATGTACTACTGTTTTTGTTTGTCGTGTTTTTCTTGTTACAAATGGGCTACAACTAAATTTCATTGAGCATTCCTGTTGCATAATGACAATAAATGATCTTTGAATCCTTTTCGGAAATTACACTTTTTCGAATTCTGAGCCAAGCTTAGCAAACTAGAAGTGAACAGCTAACCTGGCGACCCCATAACAACGCGTTAAAGCTCAATACCAAAGTCCCATCCAGTCGCCATTTTCCAGCTCATTTGACGTCTTCAGGTTCCAAATGACGCAGGGTCATCGTAGAACAGAGGCTGTTGGCCTCAGCCTGGTCCTCCGAGAGCTCAGGTTGCAGCGAAGCCGGCGTGGCTCGAGGCAATTAGTGGACAAAGCGCCTTATTCTATAATGGATGATCAAAACTCTTGGCTGTGCATGTATGACAACCGATCCCTCTTTCATCCACTTCACTGGAGATGGCCCGGCCGCCGCGGCTCACAAAGAGCAAGATTATGAAGTAGGGCTTTAAGAAGAGAGCAGGAATTGAAAAAGAACAGTTGTGTAATATAAATCATAATGTCACCATAATGACGGGCTTTGGATCTATATGGTGTGGCTTCTTTCAGGTTTCAGTGGCGTGTACAGAGACTGGAGCAGCATTCAGACACAATCGAGGATGTTTTTGCGCTACCAGAGATGAAAGATGTGGGAAATAAAGCAACAGACTCACTGGTTTCTTGGGAAAAAAACATGTAATAATTATCCACAAGAAAATTGTAGTGTGTAGTAAAAAAAAAAAAGAAAAAAAAAAAAAAGGGTTCTTAATCAGTTCACTACAAAAATATATTCTAGGCTGATGCTAAACACCCAGCATTCTGAGACACAGTACCAAAATATTTCCTTGTACGATCTAAATAGCAGCCAACCCCAGTTACAACAGGCCCACAGGTACAGACTGAGTCACTTACATACTGTATATATTAAAAACATTTCACTACAATAGCTTACAATTACATGATTCATTGCTGGCATATAAAAATGGTTTACATAAAAAATAATTAAAAACCAAACCCCATAGAAAGCCCCCCCCCCCCCAAAAAAAACAAAAAAAACAAAAAAAACAGTACAGCACTGTGAGCTCTGCAGTAGTGGAGAAGTACCTATGGCAGGTCACAAAGTGGACGGGAGGGGAGAGGGCTGCGTCAACAGTGTACAGAGGTACACCATAGTTTGTAATGCTGTGGCTAATTTATGACGGAAAAGTCATACAAACAAGTTTGCACCAGTATATTCAACATATATAAAACAACTTTTGTATCTTTTTTTCCCCACTTCTGGGGCATTACTCATAACATTTCCCTTAATAGTTCATCTGAAAACTATGGAAGCCCATTTACACCAAAAAAATAAAGGGTGCGACATTTAAGGATTCACAAAATATAACCATTCATGCAAAGTCAAACTATTGACATGCCAAAGTAAAATTATGAAATAAATATTTTTTTTTGCGTCAAAAAAAAAGATGAAAAACGGGGTAGCTCGAAAAAAACAAAAAGACTTTAGAGTCGGAATTATGATAGCAAGTCAAATTTAGCCACGTACTTAGTATGAGATTTGCTAAGTAAAAACATTTTAAAATGATAACATATATAAAAATAATATTGCGTCAAAATGACAATATGCCAAGTCAAAACTATGAGATTCTATAAGTCCGTAATATCTTATTTTGAGGTTGTTTTATCATGTTTACTTGTGACAATGTCCAGACTTTACCATCTAAATATTATGATCCTCCATAGTTCATAATTCAACACATAATCTCATAATATTGACTTGCCACTTAGTTTTACTATCATTCCCAACTTCTCTTCTGTTTGTTTTTTTCCTTCTCCCAGCAGAAATGGGCTTCCACAGTATTAATCAGAGGTTTCTTCAAATAAAAAATAAAAAATTAGGCACAAATCAAATCAACATAATTCAAATCCCACCCCCCGACCACACTCCTTCCAGCTGTATGTCCATGTGGGAGATGAAGGCCAGTGAGAGTGTGGTGATTGGAAGAACTGTTGCCACATGAAAAGGCTGGTGGTGGTGATGAAGGCTTTTTAGAGTGAAGTGGCTGCGGGTTCGATGAGTGGCATCTATGGAACATCTGAGATGCTGGTTTGGTCCTGGCGTTGATCTTCGTGTGATGAATTTTGGCATTGGGTCACATGTCAGGAGGGCGCTTCATGTCGCTTAGGGGTTAAAAATGACGGTGAGTGCGCTGTGATCGTTTGCGTACAGTCTTTAGGCACAGGTGGTGTCTGTTCCTCGCCCCTCCGCCTGCACCGTGAGTGAGCCTTGCGCGGCTGCCGAGAGCCATTCGCCGTCTCTCCACGGGGGAGGGGGGGGGGGGGGGGCGCGTGGGAGCTGAGAGTGGGGAGGTCAGTCACTGAGGCGAGGGGTCGGGGGTCAGTAGTGGTTGCGTCGGCCGAGCAGGAGGTGAGTGCTGCTACGGGACGGCGGTACGCTTCAGTTCACTCTGAGGAGACAACAGTCAGAGTCAGTTTACAGAACCAAAAGGTTAGAAATGTGCCACTCGATTAGTCTCACCTCTACTGTCCAGAGACGTCTCTAAGCTACAGCGTTCTTCACATTATTCTCCAGGAGCGACCTGCGGCGAACACACAATAGCTTCCGTCAGCATGACACGTTACAGCTTTGAAAAGGCGCCCGCCCGGCAGCATGTTTACCTTTAAACTGGTTTTGTTGCTAAATTTATGCCTCATATATGTCATATGGGAGTTATGAAAATTACAATTTGCAGACTTGTGATTATTGCTCACATCAAAGTCCTAATTATGACTGGGAAGATGTTTGACTATACATCCAGCTCAAACGAAACTTAATACTTGACACCGATCACTATGCTTTAATTTGACTTGTTATTAGTAGAAAATATAGATGGGGTAGGGTATGTACTTTGGAAACATTTCTGTTATATTTGTTAAAAATTCTCTTTACATTCTGACTAATCAATATATCAAATGCTCTGACAAAAAAATCAAAACATAATCTGGTATCTGTTGCTGTAATAAGGACTACAGGACTGTAATAAGTCTTCCATGGGCTGCTCGCTACTTTCATTGGAAAGAGAGTTGCTAATGCTTGCTGGTTCCTCCAATGTTCTCTGACCCAGTTATGAAAGGGGCGTTTTGTTAGCAAATGATTTGTTTGCTTGATACTTTCAAAACTGCATTAATGGATTTTTTGGGCTACTTGAGGAAAGCAGAACGAGCTACAGCTGAGGCAAGAGACGTCTGAAAGCCCTGGAAATGACATTAAATGGAACACCACCTAAATTGATAATTCCAATATGTCATGTCCATGACCCTGGAATGTTCAATCGATATTTGTGAGCATGATAAACGCTCTCTTAAAGCCAGAAACCAGAGAGGGAAGCATCAAACATGCGATGTCATTGGGTTTACTGGGAGACCCACAGAGAGTTCCTTTTCTTTTCTTTAATGTAGTGTTCTCAGTATATGCTACAGTTTCTGTTTCACGACTAACAACATTCTCCCGGCTGCTCTGTGTCATCTTTCTATGACTGTGGAGCAGACATCATAAAGTATAGTTTCAGCACTCTAGTCTTTGGCAAAGAGATGTTCATGTTTACTAATATTTCTGTCTTAGGTCATAGACCATAACATGTATGGATTTTGAAAATAGGCGTGGTTCCCCTTTAAGTGAGCCGTGATTTATGGTTGTTGGACAAATATTTCGATCACTATTATTAAACACTTTTCCCTACAGCTTCAGAGTGGCATTTTCTAAAACTGTGTTGACACTATGATATGACAACACACAAATTCTGCTTCCAACGGGACGTCCCTTACATGTGCTCACCAATCTCAGTATATTGATGATACATTGACAATGAAGTGGAAACGGTGACGCTGTCATCTGCTTTTAGAAAAGGAGGATCAGCGATGGGTGATACTTACGTCTGGTCTCCTTCTAGCGACTTCTGGATCTCTTGAAGTACTTCTGCAAGACAGCAAAATATGACCGTAACTAACCAGCGTTCTCAACGCAGCACTCTACACTTCACATGAGACCTGAAGCAGCGGTTCAGTGACATCAGGATACAGGTCGCGGAAGCCAAAGGGGAGTTATTCAAATCATGCGTTGGGACGAGGTTTGGGAAACACGGCTGTGGTTCATGACCTGCTGATGTTGGCGTGTCTTACGGGAGCAGAAAGCTGACATACCAGTTAGGAGAGGCAGACCATGGTAAAACTATAGCGGATACACCCGATGAAATACAATGTTTGTATTAATGCACTCGTCAATCTAGAGATTTTTTAAAGACAGAAAACATCCACATTGCAATAGGTGTCTATATTACTACTTTCTCTTTTTATGTCTGTAGATTTCTCCTAAATTCACCTAAAGTTCACATTAGATAATGCCTCATTTGCATATTTAAACATAACATTTCAGAAAACTTGCAATCCAAAAAATAATTGTCTTCATGGAATTAATCAACTGGGGAAGTTTCCTGGTTCTCTCTCTCTCTCTCTCTCTCTCTCTCTCTCTCTGGTACTCACTCTCGTCATTCAGCAAAGCATGCTCCATAACACGTCTAGCTGCACTTTCTGGAACACAGGCAACAGGCAGAGGACACGTCAGTACAACCAGCCACAAACAAGGTGTGTGTGTGTAAAAACAGACAGACAGCACAAGCACAGAGTTAAACAACATGGAACAGAACACTACATGTGGACATGTAGTGTAGTGTTCCCTCAGCCAGTGGCACATGCATGTTTAAGAATGATGCTGGCCTTTTAGCATTGAGAGGTCTCTGGCAGACATGTTACCTGCATCCTCACTGTCTTGTGTGGTAATTCTAGGAGAAGGATAGAAAAACAAAAAGAAAAAAAGTCATGGGTACTGAAAGAAATCATGAGTTTCAAATCAGAGTAAAATACAGAAAAAGAAAGATTTCTACCTATGCGCAGACGAAGCTCCATCGAGCTGTGGCCTACGTTGAGTCGAGGAGCCGGTGTGAAGAGGAACCTCCATCAGACAGCGAGGCTCCACCAGGACCCGGGCGGACAGAGAGAACCGCTCAAACTCAGATGGAGAGATCAGGTAGAAGCCTGAGGGAGGAAAATGGCACAAAGACTGTTTCTAAACTGAGCGATCATTTGGCCAGAGAACACGAGGACCAGGACTCCTAAAAAGACCAGTCTGCTATGATTGGTCAGCGTTTCCGGTCTTCCGCATCTGAATAGGGGCGGTGTGTATTCCTCCTACACTTATGTTGAAATCTCGCTCTTAGGTCTGTAGCTGCGACGGTTAACGCTGAGGGAAGCACAGATGTGTGTGTCGCCGTGTTTACCCTGGCCATGCTTGGTGAAGACACAGGAAGCGATGCCGCTGACGTCCTCTCGCCGCACGCAGGGGTAGTGGACCTGCATCTTGACTGTCGGCAGCGACACCACATGGACGTCGCCCTGGTTGGTCAGGACCACGAGGCCGCTCTCGCCGTAGTCCTCCGACCGGCTGCTGCCGAACCAGGCCACGCCCACCCGCCGTACCCTGGAGCCATCCACGGCCGTCAGCTTCAGCTTCATCTTGGCGCTCACCTTTGGCAGCGTGAAAACCTGAACAAGCAAGAACGAGTTTCTCCACACAGCCGAGCACTATTTAATGCCACTATAGTTTGGCAGCAAAACATTTTTTAGAAATTAACTATACGTTTTAAAATCTTAGTCTTAAATATGACAAGAATAATATCTACAATTAAGGCCTCCACAGGCCTTGAATGAATTCAATTCTGCTGATCTTTAGCATATACAGATCTTAACCGTTTGAACTCTGCAATAGAAATGGTACGTCAGCGGCTCCGTCGGTAGGTTTCTGGACCATCATCAAATGCTGTATAACTCTAAAATCTGTACAACCTAAGTTAAGAGCTTACGTGAGTTAATAAATAATTGGTCAAAGTATTGAATTTGTGTCGTAAAAAAAAACAAAAAAACTGTTTCAATCAAATTTGAAAAAAACGTTTTTCCCGAAGAATTCTGAATGTAGAAACAAGAACACAATATTTCTCAAAACAACTAACGTTATTTAAACTATGTAATTTTTTTCAGTTTGTGACATATGCAAATTTTTTTGAGCAGACTCAAAGGGGAGTTTTTTGTTTGCTCCACATGACGTCATCACGTTGTGCGAAAGACAGAAGCCTCAGCTTTCCATGGCAAGATGAAGGAACGTGCTAGATGGAGTGTTTTTTTGATGATCTAAAACAGGATCATGCAAACAACGGTCTCCTGCGGCTGCCTGGGGGGAGGTCTGTTATGAAAGGGTTAAGAATAGAATAATAATTTAGAACATTTTGAGAAACGGCAACCTGTACTCGTCTTCGGTTCTTATATTGAACTGCAAGCTCTGTGGCTCAACTAATTAATAGGGTACAATTTAAGCTGCGTGTGACATTTTTTTCTGGTGAACCTGATTTTGCCGGAATCAGACCTAAATGCTAGTGAATCTGCATTTTTAACATACTGCACCCTGTTGGATGTGGGTCAACAATAACTTGTCGCTGATCTTGACCTCAAATAGTCATTTTGGCAAACTGAAGTACTGCTATGACTATATAGGTATTCCATCTGTGAGTATGCAGTAGTGGATAATGGGCGTTTGTTGGGTGAGAAGGTTCCAGAGTCTGTGTGTGTGTGATCCTGACCTTAAATTGCTCCTCAGATATGACCACGAGGTGGTGCGAGCCCTGCATGTTGGGCGAGCGAGCCAGGTCGTGGGCCACCTCGAGCGGCTCAGGGAGAGGAGCCCCGTGTCCGTCCAGCACCACTATGCCAACAACAGGGGCCCGGTGCATCAGCTGGATCTCCTTAGCTGGAAACAAGAGGAGGACAAAAAACGAGGGGGAGAGAACATTACAACGCGAAGACAGAGGTGAGGAAGTAGTCTACCCCCAAAAACATCGAAAAAGTATTTTGTTTCTCACCCGGCTGTGCGGTGACTGGTTCATCCGCTCTGCGCTCTGCGGCGGGAAGGCGGAGCATGTATGCAAACACACAGCCGCCGTTGGTCCCTGCCCACAGGGAGGGCGTGTTATGTGAACCTGCGAGAGAATGAGGAGATGTGTGGGAAACCCAGAGGTACGGTGCATGTAAACAGAGATATGGCCCCCTGATGGCCAGTAGAGAGAATTTTAAGTTTTAAGACACTTCCGAATTGGCCTCCCTCAGCAGAACCGGAGGTTGCCGCCTGGGTGGGACTCACTGTCTGAGAGAAAAGTGTCGGCGAAGTAGATCATCCGCACGAGGCCGGTGAACGAGTCGTCTGAGGACCGCGCCTCGATCTTCCTCTGGACCGGAGCCAGCTCCATCTCTGCCAGCTCAGCCTCCAGACGAGCGTTGGCATCCTGGAGCTACTCGGAGAGAAGAGGGCGATGAAGGTTGGAATGGAAATTCACGGCACGTTAAGCGGTCCACTTTCTGCCTCAGTACTGCTGAATGAACAGAGAGCTAAAGAGCTGACCTTGGCTGCGTTGTTGACATGATGTTTCCTTAGCGAGACCCTGCTGCGTCTGATTCTCCTGAAGGACTGTCGGAGGGATTTCTTTATGCTCTTCACCCTGGACAGAGGACCCTCCATGGCCAGCTGGTCACTGGGGTTTAGGGTGCACCTACGATTGGGAGAATACTGAGGTAACACATGAACGCACTTCACTGTAGTCGTTATTACAAACCAAACCAACGTGCTATTTATCAACTCGCGTGGTTGAAAATGTTGCAATCGTTTTTAAAACATAAATAATGTGTAAAGTACAACTCATTTGCTTCCTGGCTTTATTCAGAGGTTGTTTGAAATTAGAGAGCGCTAGTATGAATTTAGGGGAATAGGCTATGTTTAAAGTCACTACGAGGAACTTTAATTTTTCTGTAGTTTGGCGGCCCCTGTGGACAAAAGCAGCAGTGTTTCTGAGCGTCAGAGTCTGGGTCGAAAGGCAGCAGTGAAGCCGGATCTGGGTCTGTCCGGATCTGAGTGTGCTAGTCACTGCCGGAGGCCACGCTGGGTCTGGTTTCAATCCGACCCAGTGGCACCGATGACAAGCATCAAGAATTACTATATCGAAGTAGCCAGTCTTCTTGCTCATGTAGACACATCAGAATTACTCTGAGATCGTTTCACAACCAGTAAAAAGTTTCTCGCAATAACTTAAAAAAAGAAAAAAAAAAGGGGGGGGTAATTAAGATTGTGCAGTTCACTTTGCAAATGACAAAAAATGTTTAAAAATAAGGTGGTAAACACTTAAAACTGGTCCGATTATCATTGTGTATCAAATGTTTGGAACTGTATAGTCCAACCTAGACATGAGTTGCCGATTAGAATATGTTACGTAAACATGGTAGGTGTATAATAAACTTAGCTTCAGACGACACCTTTTCTGTTTTTTTTAAATTTCCCTTTATTCTAATGCCTTATTGTTAATTTTCTATTTTAATGTGCTTTCTTTTTGGAATATTATAAATGATTATTAAGACTTGGACATAAAGACCTGATTTGCAAACCACCTAACAAAAACCTGCAGAGACTAAACTTGGAGCTGTGCAGCTGCTAAAATCATGAAGCGGGGATCTCTGGCGGGCGTAAACTTCCTGCGTAAGCTCTTCGTCTGCGTTTTCTTACTTGACGAGGACGTTGTTCTTCTGTTGGTAGTCATAGAGGCCGAAGCCGTGGCTGGTGCCAAAGGCCACCAGCTTCCACTCCGAGTGCAGGGTGAGAGCGGTGATCACGGCGGGAGGCTGGCACTGGACCAGAGCGAAAGGCTGGAAGCCTGGAGGGAACAGCACCGGCTCTTCTCGCACGTCCAGCCGAGTGTGGCCCTGATCGACAAGAAAAACAGACACTGTGCTGATCGGATCACTTTCACTCTAAACTAGACTAAAAATAACCATACAAGGGGGACATAACAGGAAAGTAACATACTGTAACGAGCACTGCGAGATATAACAGCTTTCATGGAGCGATGGGTAAAAGCATTAGAAAGGGTGAAGTCACGAGTAACGTGTTAATGAGTCCGATGCCGCTCATTACCTTCCAGCGGAAGCCCTCTTGGCCCTGCAGCAGATCCACAACCTTAGCCTCCACTGTCTGCTCTGCCGCCTCGTCGTTCAGCTCCAGCACCAGGATCTGGAGAGACAAACGCAAGACACGGTGGAATGAGAGTGACTGAGCAGCCCGTACCGTTCTGTCGGCTACACCCACACCGGTGGGGAGAGACGTTAACAACAAACACTCTGGATACAGAGTGTACACCAGACCGCTCATACTTTAATAAACCCTAATCCCTAACAGAATGCATGTGTTAGGGAAATGAGGAAACATCACAGAAATTTGAGTTGCCTCTTGAGATCATTTGTCGTGCTCATACGTAGCGCTTCCATCGTCTTTTCATTGCTGATTTAGACCAAATCAAAGAACATGTAGTGATGTCAAAGAGTAATTCTTACTTTCATGGTTTCATTAATATACTGGATTCACCAAGTTCATTGCTGAGATCTGGGAATGTGGTAGCCCCTTGTTAGCCAAAGAGAGAAGTGTACAATTATTTCCAAACTGTCAGTTTCAAAAGGGCCAATATTTAGTAATGTAATATAATATGAATAAGTATGTTTTCATTGTGTATAATCACCTGAAATTAAGAACTGTCGTGCTTTCGTTAGCTTGGAATGAGCTCTTCATCTTTATATCAGTATAGGGAGTCTGCCACGTTGCACTGCAATGTTTCTACGGTAGCCCAGAATGGACAAACCAAATGCTGGCTCTGGAGAGAGCCTACTGCTATAACGTGAGCCGCAGAGTGCAAAACCGTGCCACCGCCGCCCGCCGTCTGACTTCCGTTGTTCCAAAAGAAGTGTGATTATGGTGTGGATGGCCTCTGAGCGAGGCCAACAGCCACGGTGGCTAATGTTACCGCAGTCTTGGAAAGGGAGGAGTGAGCGGAGGAGTAATTAGTTGGTTGCAAGCTGCAACCTCAGCACTAGAGTCCACCAAATCCTATACACTGTCCCTTTAGACCCGTCTGATCATCCGAGCGCTGGAGTTTCTTTCCCAGTCGGACTTTGATGCAGCAATCTCAGCAAATAGCTTGGTGAGTACGATGTTCTTATAGCTGATAGAAATGATGGTTCAAACTATGAAAGACAGACTCGTGCTGTAATAAACCAGATTCATCCTTCAAAATGGGGGAGCACTTTATATGCATGCATCAACGTTTTAATCATAACTTGCTCAGTCTTTAGGAATGCAATCAGAAGTGTGACACTTAATAATTACAGCTGTTCACCAGTCATCTCACCTGTCCAGCAGTGCCAGCCACAGTCAGATAGCCGCTGTATTTACAAAGGTGGATCTTCTGAACGCCGAGCCGCGGGTCGTCACTGTAGGGGTCAAAACAGCCGACCTGGAGAGAAAAGTAAAAAAAAAAACGATAAGTACGCCGGCAATTTTGCGTTGTACTTTTATAGGAGACAGATAAAAAAACAACAGTCAAAGCGTCACAAGCCGACTTTACTTTACTGGAATAATAAAATCTATTCAGGTAGGGATTGAGATTCTTATGAAACAATTCACCACGTCTAAAAAGTGTTTTTTAGTGTGTCTGTTTTAACAAAAGAACCTTGATATTGCTACTGGTGGACAGTAAGTTAAAGTTGTCTCAAGCAATACTGTCTGATTTGATGTTTTTTTTTAATTTTGTGTACAATTTATTTGAAATGTGCATGTTTTTAAGACTGCTCCTATTACATTTATGACACTGAGAATTGAAAAATACTAAAAACATTTAGTTGTGGTTATTTGAGCAAGTTTTACACGAATAAATGTTACCTTTTGCCTGTGTGTTTTTCATCAGTGCAATCAGTAGAAATAACTTTCTTTTAAGATTTAAAACTCCATAATCTGATACTTTATGCCATAACTTGCCACACTGCCTTTATTAGAGCACAATGGACTGGAGTATCCCTGAGATTAACACCCTGATGTACTGAATCGAGAATCAATTTGAATCGAACAGTGACCCCGAGACTCAAAATAGAACCGCAAGGGACCGAAAGATTCACACCCCATAAATGCTACTGTGAAGAGTAACCAGATATTTAGGTCTAGGGTTGGTGGATTGCCCCTTAAAGACGAATAATATTATTGTATGAATCAGCCAGTAGCTCTCCTGCTTCAGTCTTGATTGGGACAGCTCATCGACACAATTCATTCTTGACCTTATAAACTGTAGTTTGGAGCTTCTTCAACAGCTGGTAGTGCTTGAAAGCAAAGAAACCGTTTGTAGGACACACACCTTTCTGAATGGCGGCCACTCTCCTTCAGTGCCTTGATTCATGTTGTCGTTGGGGTCGGCGTCTGTGTGGAACACTCCAGCTGTGCTTAACTTGTACATGGGATACAGACAGACTCCAGATGCATCCCAGAAACGCACCGTCCCATCCTCATGCCTACAGACACAAACACACATAAATAAATAAACAGGATATTGTTAAATCTGTCAAAGGGACGTCCCAATAGATATTTCCAGAGTTGAGAACTGACCCTGTGAGGAGCAGGTCTCTCTGTGGAGGGTCTGGGGCCAGGTTCTGGCCTCCCGTTATTGGCCATGGCTGCATGGAGAGGGGAAATGACAAGTTTAACAATAATACCAACCTAATGCCATCTCGTTGAACCAGAGATGAAAGAATGTGTCCATATTCTGAACGCAGAATACCATACACGATGAACAGCTTTGAGGAAGTTTTGTATCAGAGGATACATTGTTGTGGACCTGTATCGTACTTTGGACAGCGACGTGCATGCACATATGTTTAAACACACACACACTTCTCCCCTGCGTGGTACGGCACAGCTCTACTCAACGCGCCATTTTCTGGTTCTCCATTAGTAACAGTAACTGGTACTAGTTCTTAGGTACCACCTCGCTTTGTTTTTTTTTTTTTTGTTTTTTTTTAAAAAGGACCTGGTACCAAAACTGAATAGACCTGAGGCGAACCATGCAGTGAAATTAGAGAAAATGAAGCTGGAAAATCGTTAAGTCCTTTTATTTGCACCCACGTTATACTGTAACCAGTTGCTCTGGTCAAAAAGTAATGAACTTCGTGTCAAAGTTTATAAGGACGTTGATGATATAAAAATATAACTAATTTCTAGCTTTATTAACTTATCACTGAAGAAAATGTAACATGTCTCTAGGGTTTACACAATTAAGGCTTAAAAGACAGCAGTCATCTATACTGACAATAATTCAATAATATTTGTTGATGTATTTATATCATGTTAATAATACACAAATGATATTGTGTAAATGATCCAGCGCCTCTCAAATTATTTTATAAAGTTATGGTGACTCTTTCCCCACCTCCCTACACTCGTATTTTGAGTGTAATTCATTTTTTTGTTAAATTTTCTAAAGATATCATGAGAATATCATTATCTTAAATTCTTATGGCCACGATAATCGTGTAGCTAAAATCGGGTATCTTGACAGCCCTAATATTTATCTTCACACCCTTCGTGATGTGACAAAAGCAGTGACTAATGTCTGGGATGAGAAACACAAAGGGATCTCAACAAACGAGTTACAAATCACAAACTCAATGAGAATTTTTTTGTTTTTTTTTTGTTTTTATAAATCAAAGATCCACATATTATTCAAAGAGGTAGCTTCTGCCCGGGCGTACCTTTTTGGAGTAGTGCGTGTTCTGCAGGTCTCCGGTGGCGAGGACCCGCTCCCACAGTTTGAGGGGGATGGCGGAGACGTGGTGGGAGCAGGTGATGGCGGAGCTGTGGAGGGGAACCAGGTACGGTGTCTGAATGACCGGCCAACCCTCCGTCTGCAGGTCTATCACTACCAGCTCCTCCTCTACCAGGACCACCAGCGCACTGGGGTCTCCTGCAGGTTGACAGAAAAGAGCAATAACAGTAGTTAGATACAAATGTACATACTGACCTTGGATCGGTTAGTCTCTACAGTACCGGTGTCAGAACATCTGAAAACAATCTGGGGTTGTCGTCAGGTCGTATTGCTGGAGGGAAGGGAGGCACGGGAAAACCAGGACCAGTACTGTGGACGGCAGACCATCAGACCCTTCTACAGTAAAACCAGAGCTTTTCTAAAGGGACTCTGGTGCTTGGAAACACTACCACTGTTTTTATCCACAGGGGCCGCCATAATTGACACAAAATGAGAGTTCCTCGCAGAAGTATTAAAATTTGCATTTCTATGTAGGAGAAATCAGATGACTGCAGAAAGCTGACTTCAGGTTACTGAAATGAATGTTGACGCACTGCGTGACACAATGAAAACCAGCATCTGACTTTGGAAATAACTCATGCTGACCTACAAAAACGGCACAACGCAATATAGCCCTTCAAACTTTGCTAAGCAGCATCCTTTTCAGAACTGTGCATGCTATACGTAAGGTATTTGTTTTGGTGTGTGTGTGTTGCCTGCCTGTGTGCTGGGGTCTGCCCCTGATGGCAAAGAAGTCGATGATCCGGGAGGTGAAGTCCAGAGCCACATGTGTTTTACTGTGGATCACTGTGATGCAGTGTCGGTCCCCGTAGCTGGCCCTGGGCATACCACCGCTGAACAGCAGGAACGGAGGCCTAGAGCGAACACGAACACACACACGAACACGAACACACACACACACACACAGGTTCAAGTTCAGTTTGCACAGAGATTAATGTGTAACAATTGGTCGTGTAACACATGTGGGAAACCAAGTTAAACATTAGAACGGTGAGGACGATAGACTTTCACTAAAGTGAACTCACCCTTCTTCTGTAGGTAGCTGAACTATTTTAGAAATGGCCTTGCAGGGGAAATGTCCTACAGTGAAAAAAGACGAGTCATCAGCCTCCAGAAAAAAAAACGAAAACATTTCATGCAGGAAGGAAAGAAAATACACAGTGGATGCCTCTCTATCCTCACCATAAGGAATGTCTGATTTCTCCTCCTCCTCGTTCACATCCTCGCCGCTCGCCATCCATCGACAGTAACTTCCATCGCTGTGTGAACTGAGAAGGTAGACTCCGTCCTCTGTCCACCACACGCTCTCCAGTTGCTACGGTTACGTGTAAAAACACACAAAAGCAAACACCGAGATTAAGCTAGCTGGTTATGACAACAGTGTATTCGGGACTGGCTGCTATTCAGTTCAGCTGTCACGGCCTTGCACCGAGCTACGGAACAGTTACCTGTGTGGCGGGGATGTGCTGGATGGCTCGCTGCTTCTTCAGATCCCATATGACCATGAGACCTCGTCCGTAGCCAATGACGACCTGGTTCGGGTCGACCGGGTTCTCCTGCAAGGCCTCCACGTGTTCCAGATTCCTGCGGCCGATGTAGTCGTCCGGTACACTGGAGGAGACGGGACAGAGAGGATAAATGCGGGGGACAGAACATCAACCTCATTATTGATCCGTAGGTACTGAGAGGCAGTGTATTGTGTTGGTGTGTGAGTGATAGCACTTTAGTCAGAACGATCATTAAAAATCCAATCCTTTTAAAATAAAGGGAGCTTCTGTGCATTTCCACAGAGAGAAGAAAAACTAAGGAAAAAGCTACAGAGTATCAGTTTAAGCTTGTGTTGAGTGCATATCAGGAGACTGAACAAACTGTCAAAAAACATAACATCAGTGTACTGCTGTGGACGAGGGCAGCAGCAAAACCTATTCTAGACACAGAAGAATCTGTTTAAGTGTTCGCAATATTTAGAATATTTTATTTGACTGCTTTTTACCTTGCAATCAAATGGCCTTTTCCGACGGGAAACCGAAGTTATTATCTTGCAGAACACAGAAGTCGCTGGTGTACCGCTGCCTCCATACGTCCGTTCATTTGTGTTATTGTGCGACTGGTGAATCCAAACTTACCGGTTAAAATCACCAAAGCCACACAATAAAACAAACGAAATGATCGAGTGAGCGGTAGACCAGCAAGTCCAGTGTGCAGGGAGGTAAAAAATGATGTTTTTGTCAAAAGAGTCTAATAGATAACGGCAGGAGTTCCCCGTTGCTTTAAACTGATTTTAATTATTTTAGGTGTGTAAAATGTGTTCTGCTGCTGCCCCCATCCGCAGCACTACATTGCTTTGCTCCCGTGCTGGTAAACAACATCTCCTGCGGGTAATACGACTTTGGAAAAGTACCTCACACAACCTCACTTCAAAAACACCTGATCGATCCCTTTAACTTGCTTCTACAGGCAGTTTAGTCTTTTTACAGTTGATAAGATGGATTTAGGGATCACAAATGACAAGAGGTCTTACATGCTGGCACGAAGGTTGGCTCAATAGAGGCGCTAGACCCTCACTGGGCTTTCACACTAAAAGGTCAAGTCCAACACTGCTTGAGCCTGGCCATTATTTCCACTGAAGAGAGCGTCTGCACTCCTAAAGCCCCCGGGTTCCCTGTGTGGCATTTACTTTTTGGTGATTTGAGTTATTGCTCATTTTTTGACAGTATGTGCCACTAGCGCAGAACAAAAAACCTGTACCCATCTTGTTGAGGGGCCCTAAGTCAAATGTGAATATATTTTACATTTTGGTTGATATTGTGATTCTATTCTTGAATAATTGAACATATAGACAACCAAAATAAAATCACTTTCCCTGTCCCAGGAGTATTTGTTTTCCGCTTGGTTCTAATGACATGTTGACACGCTTCACAGATTAGACTGAACAGAAACATCCAGCTCTATTTTGTATGAATGTAATCTAGTATATTGTTGGCGAGACAAAGATTTGAGTGAGTTCCTGGACACATCGATAACGACTGCTGTAAACGCTGTTGATTTGTAGACTATTTAAATGAACTAGGGACAGTCTCCCTCCCTGGCTCATTGTTATGGTTGACGTGAGATGGAGGCTATAAGCGAGGCGTGTTGTGGTTGCCCACCTGCTGGCCACTTGGTCTAGACTAATGTTCCTCTCTTCCAGCTCTCTGAACCCGGGGACTTCCACTATGAAGACGTGTCCTCCTTCTGTCCCCAGCAGCAGCAGCTCCCCCGAGGAGTGAGCCAGCACTGCTGTCACTCTGGTCACACTTGGAGGGGCACTGAGGAGGAGAAGAGAGCGGTGACATCACTTGGGGGAATGAAGGAAGAGTTGACGTTTGTATAAAGCCGGGCTGTAGCTAATTTGCTGGTTATTGTCTCAATCATTTGGTCTATAAAATGTCAAAAAAATAACAGTTATAATTACTCACAGCCGGAAGTTATGTTTTAGCTTGTTTTGCCAAAGGTCCAAAACCCAGAAACTATTCAGTTTACCATGATATGAAAAAATAAATGCATAAAACCCTCACATTTAAGAAGCTGAACCATGAAATTGGTTTGAAATTTATGTTCAAAAAATGGCTGAAACAATCAAAATCCTTGCTGATCAATTTTCTGCCCATTGGCTAATTGACTAATTGAGTAATCGTTGCTGCTCTGGTACAGCATCTTTATAAAGAATGTATCTAACTGGGTTGGTATGCAGGGCCTTGATGGATTTGCCTCTTGGACCAAATCATTCCAAGAAGTTAGGAGCCCCGGGAACTAAATCAGCCATGTTGCTCCAGTCTGGAGGTTTGATCAGTCAGCTCCATCCTGATAACTGCCTAGTGATTGGCGAGGTACAACGAGGAACATTTAGGGGGCACAAACTACACACCCAGCAACCACAACTGGAGCTAATATCCTTTGGTTGAAATGTAGATACAATTCAGAAGTTCCCAAAAAGGTTTTTCTTAAAAACTACCTGCTTTGGAAAAGGGTCAGGAAAGGGGTGTGTGTGTGTTACCCAGGTGGTCCCGTGAGAGTGAAGCGTCCTATCTCCAGAAGTTCAGAGAGTCCCTTGTGAGCTTTTAAAGTCCACATGTGCAGACTGTTGTCATCCAGCAGGGTCACCAGTTCAACCTAAACGTAAGCCACAATCAATCAATACTGTCCAAAATGCTATTAAAAAAGGCATTTACTGGTGGCTGGCAGGGAACATAATTCCATACAAAGTCTCCTCTATGAAAAACAAGGCTGGCTACATTAAAGCTACTACGAGGAACTTTAATGTTGTGTTGATTTTGGCTGTCCCTGTGGACAAAAGTGGTAGTGTCCGAGCACCAGACTCCATTTAGAAAACCTCTCATTTTACTGCAGTAGGGTCCGACAGTCTGCCCAGCTCAGTCCTGGTTCTGGTACTTCCGTGCCCCCCCCCCCCCTTTCCCGCAAACGGGCCGAGCACTATGGCCCGTCAGAGGCCCTGCTGGAGTCTGTGCTGAAGAGGTTTATGGTGAACCTGGGTGATTTCATCAGATTATGCCGGAATCCGACCCGGTGGCCCTCTCTGATGGTCTCATTTATTAATAAAGGTCATGTGGAGAACCTGTCAAAAGTTCCTCATAGTACCTTTAAAAAGCAGAACTACTACTGCATAATGTTCTTTGACCGTACCTGGTGGGGGAGGAAGTGCACCTGTGTCACGGCAGCATTCTCATCATGTAGACCCATGAACTCCACACCCGGAGCTCCATATCTGACCGCTGGTCAAGGAAACACTGATGATGATTGAATTGGGATATTAAAATACCAAGAAACTGATTTATGGGAATTTTTTGGCATATATTGTAAATAGGTGCACACGATGACCGGGGATGTGCTCCAAAAGGTTAAAAAGGCTTCTTAATATCTCAACTTTAACGGTGCTAAATTCGAAAAATCCGTGCATTACTATTGCCTCCACTCGCCTCTCAACATTCAACATGGCGACGGCTGAGCCAGCGACTAGCAGCTAACGGTGCTTACAGCGCTGACAAAGCTATCCGAGTTTACCCAAATAGACAGGTGCATCATTTCATCTGATTCGATGTGATTATGGTACAGACGTATCTTCTGTGATACTACGTAGACAAGAAATTCAAAACTTCAGATGAACTCACTGAATTGTTACAACTCCAGTAAAATTAGCCTAAAACGCCTATCCAAGGCATACCCAAAGTAAATTGAAAGCTGTTCTTGAACCATTTGGAGTACATGCATGGTTTTGGTCTCTTTTGAAAGGTAACACTCTGAAGTTTTTTCCCCAACAGTGAGAATCACTATAGGTGCTACTGGCATTGAGTAATAGAAGTTTGAACACACTGAAGTAGAAGGTTTATATTTCCGCCTGAATATTGTTTTGCAAACTGATGCCTGCAGATGACTATAGCTGAGACTTATTAGCTGGAAAACACAATGGGACCACAACATGAAGCCTTACCTAGTCCAAGTTCATATTTGATAACAATACCACAGAAAATGAATATTTCACACATGTTTTACTAAGGGTATGTCTAGGCGCTTTCCAAAAAAGACATTTGGAGACCCATGGTAACATACCTAGGCTGTATAGAAATGTGTATTCATAATTCAAACTAAAGCTTATTTATGTCTAAATAGTTATCTATAAGTTATTTTGCCATTATTCACTTTCCTAAATTCTCCAAAACTCCCAAAAACCACACTTTGCATTTACAGCATGGACACAGCGACCTGACCCGCGGTTACGCAAGTTCCGTGTTCTGCCTCTAAATCCACCCCCCTGAAGCTGCATATCATTATTTTCAAAATTTCATTGGCTATACGAAGCGTCAGTCATCAGAACAATCGGTTGCAATTGGCTCGAGGTTTACACGAAAGAAGAGGGGCAGGCACTTTCCTTCAACGCGGACTCTCGTTGGCTATTGTAGGCTGTAGACAGGACATGGAAGCTCCTAATAGGTCAAATGAGGTGTCAATCTAAACGTCAGACTACAGCCGCCATTTTGAGATCCAGAGAGCGTCAATGTTTACATGCAAACTGAACTTACGTTGGAAAATACATGGATAGTTAGGCATATCTGCCAGCTTATTTGAAATGATGCAACAGCAGTCCGTGGGTATTTATGGACGTAATAAAGTGTTTTGGACTAAATATTTTACTGGATTGGATCATCTGGACCTTTGGCAATGTAACAAGCCCTTTCTTGTTGGAATAATATCGAGGGGTGGACTTCTATAAAGCTTCATCGGTGAGTTGCCTCGATTTTGTAAATGTTTGTTTGCGGGTTGGTGGTCTGACAGAGGCGTTGATTGTACCTGCTGTTGTGATTGCATCTTGAAATGGTTTGCATAAATCGAATTACAAGAATCTTAGGTTTCCAAAGATATGTCGCATCAGTGCCTACCTATACATAGCAGTTGTGTACATAACACAGATGTACAGTTAATCTTGATCGCAATATTGGTCAGAAAAAAGAATAACTATAAGATATTTTCCTCATACAGCCCTCTCTGTTGTGTGGTGAACGTTTTTTAAAACCGCGTGGAGACACCACATCATCCCTACGCAGGGAATCGCAACACGCCATCAAGTGATTTGTGCGCTGCATGTTAAAGAACAGTAGCTGCTCTGTTCTTTGACTCAGTCTGAAGTATCTGACACTTTAGACTCATAATATTCATTCAAAGATTTCCCTTCATCTGCGCCCTCTTGCACTTTCTATCCAGGAACAATCTGCTGCATTGTATGAAATGGATCACCCCCAACGAGAGAAGGCATCAAAACCAGTGTGTGTCTCTCTGTGTCAATGGGGAGAGTGCACCGACTGGCTCCGCCGCGACGTCAATGAGTGGAATTGTGCGACAGGACCGGGGCGACACAATGACTCGGCCGTAGCGTGGGAAAAATGAAAAGCACCTGAACCAGGTACCTATGTGAACTGCAGACGGGGATTTAGTGGCGTCACACGCGCTCATTAGCGCAGAACCTGCCTCAAGTTCAAACATGACAGATTCCTCCCTGGGAACTATTCTCACTCTCTCTCACACGTAGAGGGAAGGATACAGTTTGATGGCCCCGGAGCGGGTGCCGATGGCCAACAGCTGCAGGGAGGGACTGTAGCCCAGAGCGCTGGGCTGGTGGGGGAATCCATGCTCCACCGTCTGAAGAGGAGAGAGGGGGGACAGACAAGGGGGGGTCATGGTGAGACCGGGCTGACACGGCAGAGACAATATCAGGACAGGATAGACTCAAGAGACTGCGGGGGGCAGATAACAGCATGTGGACAAGAAATAGGAAGGATTTATTTATTTTATCTTGAGCAAATGTTCATTTCTTTGCTCGTTTTGCATAGAAAACGTTTTCCTCTCTGATTTAATGCACGGGGTGGTGTGTTCTTTATACTATGACAGTTTTACTGTAATTAGATTTGATTATAGCCTCGCTAACAGTATATCACACTATATTAAATCCCAACTGGCTTCTGAATCATCATTGATTCATCACATGTACCTAATAACCACCAACAGCAGCCGTCATCATTTAAGTCAGAGCAGACCTATGATTCAGCTTAAAGCACTAAAAGTCAAGACATTACAAAGTGCTCCACAATAAAAGCCAAAATGAAAAGATCAAAACCATACGCAAATGAATTTCTTCGGTGCAGATAAATAATAAAGACAAGGTTTATAGATCGATGTGACAAAAGAAAATCCGGTCACATTGTTCATCTTGTATTGCTCTCAAACTGTGTGTATGCTTGTCTGACGCATGGGTCAGCTGCATGTAACATGTATATCACATGTTCTGCTTTTTAAATAAATATATGTCCAGGAAATGATGCATCATTTCTACATCTGGATTTAGGTGTAACTCGCCTTTCATCTGGTCTTGCACATTAAAGAACTTCTCTCTTTTTAAATAGTGACTGTACAGCAGATAAACAGGAGACACTGAATGGTTTGTTCCCTTTGGTTTTTTACAAACTTTCTGTGAATCATTTAAAAGAATATGGCTCAGAAAGGAGGAAATAAGGTCATGTGCCCACAATCTCTTACTTGTTTATTAGCAGGTAGGTGTAAACACAAAATGACAAGCTATCGTTAACACCAGATAACATTTGGCAAATCCAGTTTGGACGCTGATAAAGCTGTGCACCTCTCTGCAGTAGAAATACACCAAACTAAGGATGTTAATAATTAACCGTAAACCACCAATAAGACTTGTGACCGATTAATGCTGTCATAATTATTTTTTTAAATGAGCGGCTTGTCGCTACACTAAGAATAGGTTGTCCACCTTAGTGTAGCGAAAACAAGCATCCCTGCACCAAACATACAAAAGTATGCCAACACCAGGAGGCAGTTATTTTTGGATGGTCAAGTACAGCTTAATGATAAACATTCTTTTGTAAATAGAACAATGAGGACCAGATTCACTTTCTGGGAGAGTCTGCTGTTGTGAGGTTTTAACAGACGACATTACTTTGCTCCAATCCATTGGCTCCCTGCTCGTTTTAGAATTGATTTGTAAGATTTTACTGATCACTTTTGAAGCACGTCTGGGCCATGAGATATATAGCAGAAATGTTGACCCCTTATGAGCCAGCTCGCAGCCTTAGATCCTCAGGTGGGGCCCTTCTGTCTGTTCCAAAGTCGAGGCTCAAAACTAAAGGTGACCGTGCTTTTGCCATCAGGGCCCCTCGGCTTTGGAATGAGCTGCCTGAGGAGATATGGCTCACAGACTCAGTAATCTCTTTGAAATCACTTCTTAAAACACATTTTTACAGACTGGCTTTTACCATTTTATTTTATTATTATTATTATAATATTCTATTTTTGTTGTCGTTCTTATCGAATGGATTGGTTTTATTGTTTCATATACTGTACTGTTTTATGAGGGCTTACATTTGACCTTAGTTAGTCTTTTGTCATACTGTCTTGCTTTGACTGTCACAGCACTTTTAAACTCCGGTTTTAAAGACACTATACAAATAAAGTTGCCGTTATTGGTACTTGCCTTGTTGAACTGGAAGAGCTCCTGTTTGAGTCTATCCCTCTGAGACTCTTGGCCGTGTCTCCTGAACCTCTTCATCCTGCCTCAGCACCAGCAGGGAGCCTCAGGGGCCCACTGACACACGCTGCAGGGGGAGAGCAGAGGTGAGACACGGAACCGAGTGTTGCATTACGGATCCTCCGTTATTTCCTTCCTTTACGTGACACACTGATTAAGTGCTGTCCCATTTTGTCTTCCTGGTTAAATCTAGGTAATTAAAATGGTATGAGATAGTGAAAGTGGTTCGGTGGAGACAGACTATCCTCTGCAGATATGCCACAAAACGATTGCTGCTAAACCACGAATCTGTTCCATCACCTAAAACGGCACCCAGCACAGATCAGCAGGCGGTCAATAGCAGAATAAAAAAGGTAACAAAAAGGTGTTCTGAGGTGTTCTCAACCACGAGAGCATGTAGCCACGACAAAATATTATGCAGTATAGTGCAGCAGAATGACAGATCAGCTGTGGACAGACACATAGATGCACTTTTTTATTTATTTAAGCATTTTAATAATGAAGAACACATTCCCAAAGACCGACCTGACCAAAAAAAAAAGAAAAAAAAAAAAAAAAAAAGAAAAAGACAGTACACCACCTCAGAGTGTCAAAGAGAAACTTCCTGTTTCAACAGTTTCTCTTCAAAATGATGGCAGACCACCTCAGTGTCACTCAGACTATATCAAGACATTATGATGTGGAATTTCAGAATGAATAATAAAAACAAAAAAACAGATTAGCTTGCAAGAATGAGCATCAAAAGAGTTAATTACACAGTGACAATATCTAGTCCGATATCTTTCAGAAGTCATTTGGCCCAGCCTCTGAACTAACACACACGAGTGGGTGGGGTCCTGGCTGCCCCCTCCCAAAACAAAAGATAAAGAGCCAAAGGTCAATCAGGGCAGGACTAACACACACGCGCACGCACACACAGAGAGAGAAAGGAGGAAGCAGGAAGACAGAGCAAAGGAAAACCATATTTCATCCTTCCATTCTTTTTTGAAAGCAACAGATAGGAAGTCAACTAAAGCACTGACAGAGAACATTAACCAGTGGCCAAAGGCTCCACGTTATACGGAGAGACCGACTCACTGAACTCCATCAGGCGGAGGGAAGGTTCAACCACAGAGCGCCGTCAAGGCCTCTAGGCCTCGTGGTTTGTGGAGCTCTGGTATTACCCTCAAATCAGCAATGAGGCTTTGACTCACTGCTGGGCCGCATCACACATTTCCCACTCCAGCTTCCGCAAAGAAAAAGCGAGGCTACTCTGACAGAGAAATAGTTACTGGAAAGGTACGGAGCATATTAACATGCACGTGTGTATATGTGTAGCTGTGTTTTGGGGTTTGCCAATACGCACGTCTTCCCTGGAGTTAAGTTGGATGTTACATTCTTGTTAGACCAGTGAATTGTTTTTAGAAAACCATTGCTTTCTGCTAGATCGACCAACAGTCCAGAAACCTGGGAAATGTAATTAAGTATAGTGCTGAGATGAGGAAAAGCTGTACATTTTCACATCCGGGAAGCTTAAACACACTGGGAAACATCCACACTTCAAAAGCGCTGCTTGCGGCGATTCTTGAGAACCGCTCATCGCTCCAGGGAAGTGAAGAAGAGTTTGGTTGTAACGTTGGTGTACCCGGCCCGCCGTCCAGCAGCAAAAGGCCCGGCATTGTCGACTCAGTCTGCAGAGCCATGAAGCTCCACCCCCTGCTGCTCCACAGAGCACTGTTCATTCCTTTATTTAAAGTGTATTGATTTTGATAGTGTCGCATGTCCAAATTGCACCAAATTCCACAAGGCACTCCCTTGGGTCCATATTAGTGGAGCAACGGATCATAAAACTCACGGTTCGGATCAGCACAAAAGAAAAAAGGGAGCAAATCGAACTTTTAGATCCCTGATCATGTTTTTTTGCCATGGATACTAAATGCAGATCATTGATGATCCATATTGGCAGATTTAGATCCTTTGTTATTAGACTATAGCAGCTGGTCTACAAGGATCCCAAAAATCTGTTCAACCGGTCTGAAGTCAGTGCAAACCATCACAAAAACTAAAGGTTAACCTTTTACTTTCTAAATGGTAAGTTATAGTGGTTCTTTTCTTCCTAAAAACACTATTTAAATAAGGAAGCAAAATATTGTATTTTTATTGATTAAAAAACAAATCTTGTCATTAGTAGTTTTAATGATAATCTGCTTAGAGCTAGTGTAAACAGGTCATAATTCATCTCTAATATCCATTTATGTTGTTGTGAAAACATCTTCAAACAACTGGAATTATTTGTTTCTAATACGTTTCTCACCAAAACTACATTTTACTCGATCACATTATGATTACGTTATAATTTACCTTCGCCCAATACTCATTTTCACTGAACAGAGCCTGAACGCATCATAGTGTAAGTGAACGGAACCTCAGTTTGTTGGCAGTTAGTGGTGCTATCATCGTCCTCCTGTTGATTCAAACACGGATTAGTCGTTTACAGTGTAACATTATCAGATCACCGACTAGAAAAGCATAAATGCTGTCCTGATCACACATTTTACTGAATATTGGCGGATAACGATATTAGTAAAACTTTATTTCACACTGTGATGGTTAACATTAAACTGTGTCATTAATCCGCAGTTCACATGCGTGCCGAACCGTTAGGGGGGGTGGGATCTGTACGGATATATATACACATATATATATATACACATACATATATATATATACATATATATATATATATATACATATATATATATATATATATATATATATACACATATATATATATACATATATATACACATATACATATATATACACACATATACATATATATATATATACATATATATATACACACACATATATACATATATATATATATACATATATATATACACACACATATATACATATATATATATACACATATATATACACACACATATATATACACATATATATATATACACACATATATATACACATATATATATATACACACATATATACATATATATATATACACATATATACATATATATATACACACATATATATACACACATATATACATATATATATACACACATATATATACACACATATATACATATATATATACACACATATATACATATATATATATACACATATATATA